TATACATATATGCATTTGATGTTGGAAGAAGAGAATTCAGGGTATCCCCTAGTCGGGAGCTCCCGACTAGAACCTCTTACTTGTATATCTTCGAAAAAGTATCTCATTGTCATTTTCTTGTATCTTATATCTTAAAACTCAGCTCATATCCGTATCTTGTATCTTATATGCTAGAAAGCATCTTCTACCCTGTAAATGTATCTTGTATCTAAAATCATTTATGCTAGAAAGTATCTTAAAGCTTGTATCTCGTTTGCATTTTAAATCATTAAAAAGTATCTTATTTTTATTTTCTTATACCTTATATCCTAAAACTCATCTCATGTCGTATCTCTTGTATCTAATATGCTAGAAAGCATGTTTTACCCTGTAAATGTATCTGTATCTTGTATCTAGTATCATTTTTGCTAGAATATATATTATCTTGATAAAGTATCTTATTATTCTTAGCTTACAACTCTTATCCCAGATCTCCTTGCAAGGGCGTATTTTGTATCTTACAGGCTAGAAAACAAGTTTCACCCTGTAAATGTATCTGTATCTTGTGCATCTATAATCGTTTATGCTGCAACTTGTATAACTATCGTGCTAGTGCCATGTATATTTTTTTATTGCTGCTCAATTTGTGTTAGTTAGAGTATGTAATCTTCTGTGGTTGGCTCGCAGCTGGCGATTTCGTGTTGTTTCGTGTTGTCGTTGATTTCTAAAATGAGTTTAGTTCAGTTAGTTGTCGAGAAGCGAACGGTGCTGCGCTACGCATTGTTTAAGTCAACAACATCATAAAAAACCTAGACAAATAAATACTGAGCTGTGCAGAAAGTTGGACACGCACACACACACACACAGCTGCACACACCTGCACACCTGCACAGCTCGTGTAGTTGTTTTTTGTTTTTCATAAAATGAATACCTTGGCATTGTTCGCATTTGCATTGTGGGCGCTTTTCTTGCGCTACTTGCCGCACATACTCAAGTTTGTGCAGCTGCAGCGCTTTTCCAGAACACTGCCCGGCCCCAGCGTGGGCGAGCTTATAGCCAATGTGAAGAAGGGCGGTAAGTTGAAGCTGAGAGCCAGAAAGAAACAAAAAAACAATAATATAATGTATGCCATGAAACGTCAGAGGTACTCAACTGGCTGAAGGAGCTGCGCGCACGGCATGGGCCAGTTTTTCGCATTTGGTTCGGCAAGGATCTGATGGTGTTCTTCACGTCGCCCGAGGACATTAAACAGCTGCTCGGCAACAATACGCTGCTGAGCAAATCGCGCAACTATCAGCTATTGGAGCCCTGGCTGGGCAGAGGCCTGCTCACGAACGGCGGCGAGTCGTGGCATCGCCGGCGCAAGCTACTCACGCCGGGCTTCCATTTTCGCATACTCAGCGAGTTCAAGGAGCCGATGGAGGAGAATTGTCGCATTTTGGTCAGTCGACTGCGCGAGCATGCCGATGGCGAGCCCTTCGATATCTATCCCTACATCACGCTCTTCGCCCTCGATGCCATCTGCGAGACGGCGATGGGCATCAAGAAGCACGCTCAGATGCAGAGCGATTCGGAGTATGTGCGCGCCGTTCAGACGTAAGTCAAAGCAAATCATCACAGAGAGCACAATGAAACGTGCTCGACTAGGAGATACCACGCATATGCAAAATGCATTCCCGATTAACTTCGGTTATCGTAGACTGATCTTTATGACATTCTCAAGGTTTAAATTCTAGGGGAAATGTGGCGTGGCATACAAAATATATAAACTATTCGCAAGCTGCACTATGTGAAAACCCACATACCAAGTTTGGCTTTTCTAGCTCTCATAGTTCTCAAGTTATGCCCAAAAAAACCATGACGCAAAATCGATATTTATCGGTAGTACGAAAAAGGCATAAAATATTGAATATATTCCTAATACTTCACATCTGTGTATACAATATGAGAATCCGCATACCATGTTTGGCTTTTCTAGCTCTCATTGTTCGCAAGTTAAGCCCATATCCAAATCCATGTGCTACAATCGATATTTATCGATATTGTGAAAATGGAAATAAAATTCCCAGTTTCCAGCTATTGGAAGTTTTCGAGATTGAGTCTTCATCTCGGCAAACTTGAAACAAAACTGTGCATGCTTGAAATAGGCGAAAACGTTCTCAGTGAAAGAACAACAGCTCTTGAATTCCATATTGTGTGACAAGTGAAAACGAAATATGTGCTTAAAATAAGAACTTTGTAGCTGAAACCAATATTCTGACCAAGTTTTCGCTGTCGCTGCTTTAGCATTTGCCGCATACTGCATCGTCAGAGCTTCTCCTTCTGGCAGAGATTCAATTTGCTCTTCAATCTGTCCGCGGCGGGTCGCCAGCGAAATGCGGCGTTGCGCGTGCTGCACGAGGAGACGCATCGCGTGATCAACATGCGCCGCAAGCTGCTGCAGCAGCAGCAGGAGCTGGGCAAGCAGAACGGCAAGGAGGAGGAGGAGCACAACGATATTGGGGGAAAGCGGCGTTTGGCATTTCTGGACATGCTGCTGCTCTCGCAAATGGAGGGCGGCGGCGAGCTGAGCGACGTGGACATCCGGGAGGAGGTGGACACGTTCATGTTTGAGGGCCACGACACGACCAGCTCGGCAATTGCGTTCGCCATCAGTCTGCTGTCCAAGCACGCGGATGTGCAGCAGCGCGTCTACGAGGAGGCGCTCGAGCTGGAGGGCAGGGAGAAGGAGTCGATGCCGTATCTGGAGGCGGTCATCAAGGAGACGCTGCGTCTGTATCCGTCGGTGCCGTTCTTTTCTCGCAACGTGCACGAGGATCTGCAGGTGGGCCAGGTGACGGTGCCCAAGGGCGCCTCCATTAGCTGCCTGGTGTATATGCTGCATCGTGATCCGGACAGCTTTCCCGAGCCGGAACGCTTCGATCCGGATCGTTTCTATTTGAACGAACATCAGCTGCATCCATTTGCCTTTGCCGCCTTCAGCGCCGGACCGCGCAATTGCATAGGTAAGTCGACCCCAATCCCCCCCCCCCCCCCCCCTCCACACACCCGAAAATTAAATATGCTATCTGCAGGTCAAAAGTTCGCCATGCTGGAGCTCAAGTGCTCGCTGGCCATGCTCTTGCGGCATTATCAGTTCCTGCCCGTCCACGAACATCAGCCGCAGCCGCTCGCCGAGCTGGTGATGAAGAGCGGCAATGGGATTCGGGTGCGCATACGGCCACGCCCCTAATACCCTCCAAACTAGCTCACGCCCAAGTATCGTTTATATAATATAGCTCTATTTGTATTGCATGTATTTAATCTTTAAATGTCTTTTTTTTTATTTTTTTTTTAGCTCAAAAGCAATTCAAATAAAACCTAATCTCAATTCAGCGTGTGAATACCCACTTAGATAACATATGATCTGAATGTGTGCCGGCAATTCAATCTCTATGAACTTCGGTGTCTATAGTCCGATCTTTATGTTATTTTCAGCGCTTAAATATGGCATCTATTGCTCTAACTCTAATATTAGGGCTTTCTTTTCGAATTCTAGGGAAAATGTAGCGTGGTATTCAAAATATGAGACATTCGTAGTCCACATACCAAATTTAGCTGCTCTAGCTCTCATAATTCTCGGGTTATAACTAAAAAAACCATGTCACAGAAACGATAATCATCGGTATTCCAAAAATGGTAGAAGATATTGGAATTTTCTATTTTGTGAGATATTCGTCATCTATCTATACAATATGAGAGCCTAAATACCAAGTTTTGCTTGCCTAACTCTCACAATTCTCAAGTAAGGCCTAAAAAACCACGTACAACAATCGATATTTATCGATATTCTGTAAATGTTAGGCGATATTGGCAAAATGTAGCAAGGTTTCTTAATAGTGAAATACTTGATATCTGTGTATGCCATGTGAGAACCTATTTGCTAAATATGGCTTGCCTAACTCTCTTATTTCCCGAGTTATGCTCAAAAGACCGTGTCTGAAAATCGATATTTATATGTAGAAAGGAGAAATATTCTTCAACTGTGTGTGCCATACGTAAAATTGCATAACAAGTTTGGTATATATATAGTTCTCAAATTTCTCGAGTTATGTTTGGAACACCCAATTCCCAAAATCTTTATTTATCATGGTATAGAAAGAGATATCTCCATATATGTAGCTATAGCTTTTCTAGCATCAGAGATCTGTGATTTCTTTCACTCTCATTCCCTCTCTTTCACTGCCTCTGTCTCTCCCTTTCCCTTTCCCTTCTCCTTCCCTCTCTCTCATTCTCTCTCTCTCTAGCTCTAGCTCTTCTCGCATTAGAGATCTCTGGCTTATAATCACTCTCCCTTTCTCTTAATCCCTCTCTCTCTCTCTCTCTCTCTCTCTCTCTCTCTCTCTCTCTCTCTCTCTCTCTCCCTCTCTCTCTCTCTCTCTCTCTCTCTCTCTCTCCCTCTCTCTCTCTCTCTCTCTCTCTCTCTCTCTCTCGCTCCTATAGCACCAGAGATCCATTAGCTCTATTGATAAGCGCTCCATATACCCCTCCCTCACTCTCTTTCTCCCTCTCCCTCTAATGCCAAAATGCCCAGCATTTCTTTTTATAACAAAGTTCAGATAGTTCAGTCAATTGCCAGATGGTCTTTTTATAAGGTGCCGCAAACAATTCTTTGCCTCATAAACCATATAAAATAAAGTCTCTACGGATTGCTGGCTAAAGAGTCCAACATTATGAGCTTGTAAATAAGTGGAGATAAGTTGTTATTGTTTGTTTCTTGTTTGGGGGAGGGGATGAAGCAGTAAATCGAGCCTATTTTAAGTAATATTCGAATTTGGCAAACTCATCGTGACGCACTTGGAAGTGGGCGCGATCAGGCGAGCGCCCGGCCTTAGACTTTGAAACTGGGACAAATAAAAATGCTGCTGCCTTATCTGGCAATGTTTATATAGTATAAACCCCGACCCCGAACATAGATAATGATATTAAGCCTAACCGAACCGAAATAAATCAACATGAAATTTGTTGTGGTATTTTGTGTTTATTTGCACACGTTTTTGAACTTTGGAAAATACAATTTTATATAGATATATATGTATTATTATTTGTAGGATAAGACGTCATATATATTCTTGTATATACATATATATGTATGTTTGGTTAGCATAATATTGTGCTCCTGTTAACATCCAAAGCCAACAACAAAAAAATATATATATATATATATGCTTGGGGCAGATATTGTCTGCCCCATATATAGACAGTAAGTCGTAGGTATGGATAAGTTATCGATATATGGTATATATATACATATATATATAGATATACCTATGTCGAACTCTGTTAAATCTCTGTTACGCGCACGCCCACATATTGCTGCTCAACTCTGTTAAAGCTCTGTTAACTCTGCTGGCTGTTATGTTATGTTCCCTGACAATTCCTTAAGCTATAAACCTTTATATATATATATATATATCTATATATATATTTTATTCCGCGCGAGTCGCATCTGATTCTTTTCAATTCGTTTATCTTTTAAATATATTTTTTTTGGGTAATTTTTCAAATTTTTTGGTTTAACAACTAGTTAAATTCCTTGACATTAGCCTGGAAATAATTTGGTTTCCTTTAGGTTTTATGGTATCTATCATATTTGGTATGTTACATTTCCCTATCTAGATTGCCTTCAATTACCTTTTTGTGTTGTTTTTTTTTTTTTGTTTTGTTTTGTTTGTTGTTGTTTAATTTTGTGCCCATATTCGATATATAAACCATCTATATACATCGCCTGTTACTCTCCTATATATCGTAATCCTCTAGTTATATGTGGTATATGTATGTGTGCGTGTGTGTGTGTGTGTGTGCGTGTGTGTGTGTGAGCTAATGATATGATGCGTCTAGGCTAGCATTGGATAACATAAAATATCGTAGTTATATATATATATATGTATATATGTAAATATATCGTATCGTATATAGCATGTGGTATATGAACATTTTCTTTTTTTTTTCATACAGAGAACAACACTTTTTAGACTAGACTAGCAAATACCCTTGCATTAACAAGTATTTATATATAGATAACAATTGTATGCTCGAGTAATCGTACACATATATATATATATATATCTATATATATAGCATATTATGTAACTCGTGTCTAGCGAATCGACAGACCTAAACCTAAACAGTTTTCATAGGAACAAGCGAGGGTTGCGATCAAATCGAATCGGATCGTGTCTCGTATAAAGCATTAGGAATTTGTCTTTAATCTGCGATCGAAAACGAATTCTGCTTAGGGTAAAAAACAGAACCTTTGGAGAAACTTTACCAGATAAAAGCATATATATATAATCTAAGTATGCTAGAGAGCGAAAAGAAGGTTCGCAGAGAAATGCAGTAGAGCTCAGAGTTTGGAAGAGCAGAGAATTTTGATAGCGCCGAACCATCTGGGAAACTTGCTTACAAACATGATTGAAAACCTGGCAGCATATCTGAAAGATCTGTTAAAGTTATCTGTTTCTATTAAGAATTCCACAAAGCTGGAAGCGTAAAGAGCCCGAATTCTAGATAGAGAACTATCGAGTGAAATATTTCTTGGAATATCTTATGTTGTAAATCTGGAAAAATGCAGAAGCGGAAAAACGGAAATGTTGGAAGAACATTTTAAGAGCAAGTTCTAGGATTTTAGCAATATAAGAAGCGAACGGATCATATGTATTATAGAGCTGAGGTCGAGACTGGGAAGCTTCCTTAGATTATAAATTATACGGAATATCTAGTATATTCAGTGAAATCGCAGACCACGGCATTATAAAGCTAGACTCCAAATGGATGATGGGTTTACGATGGTTAAAGGGCCGCAAGGATATCCTTAGAGCTTCGCTCATAGCCAGGGTATGCATATGGTGCGACAGACGTCGCGTCTGTGCGGCTGCGGATGCGGCTCCTCGCCATTGGGACCGCCTCCGCCCCCACCTGAACTAAACTTGAAAAAGGAACTCCTTCGTCAGTGCTTGCGATGCGTCTGAGGCGATGCGCCCGCTACGTGGCCAGTGCTGGAAATAGGACTGATGCTAGAGTTGGAATTGGAATTTGAATTGGAGCCAGCGCTGGCTACGTGCCCGACGCTGCCCTCAGGCAATGACTGCAGCGCAGCGGCGACGCTGCCGTAGCTGGCGCGCTGCTGTGACTGCGACTGCTGCTGGGATTGGGAATGCTGCATATGATGTGGGGCTGCTGTCAGCGTGGAGGCGCGCGCCAAACGCTTGGGTATGACAAATGGGGGCGGCGGCTGTGGCGTATATTGCGGCGGCGTTGAGTTCGCCGATGCCTGTCGCACGAAATGCCGGCTCGGCGGCGATTGCATCGAACCGGCGCGCGCAATGGCGCCGGTTCGCGGCGGTATCGCCGGCGGCGGTCCGGGCGGCTGTCCGTGCCGCAGCTTGGCCGTTGGCGATGAGCTGCAGCTGCTGCTCTCCTGCGATGGCTGCGCTTGGACGCGTGGCGGCAGTTGGGGCAGCTTCGCATTCGGCTGCACCGTCGACATGGTTATGGTGGGCTTCTGGATGGGCACCGTGTGCCTTATGGTTACATTGCCGGGCTTGTTGCCGGCGCTTTGCCTTGCAGGCGCAGCTGTTGTTGCCGTTGTTGTTGCTGTTGTTGTTGTTGTTGTTGCTGTTGCTGTTGTTGTTGCAGCAGCTGTTGCTGTTGGCGCGTTGTTAACACTGGCTTTCTGCTGATGCTTCTGCTTCTGCTGCGCATGAATGTCCTGTATTTGCGGCGTTATCACCACCGGATTCTTCTTCTGATCCTGTCCGGCGGCCACATAGCTGAAGACGCACAGCACCGAGTAGCATATCTGATCCGACTGCATGACGGGATCACCAAGGCAATTACACGTACGTTAGTGTTGGGCAATAGCTGAATAACTGTTTGGGGCTGTGTGTTGGTTAACAGTTGGTGACGTGTGGTGGAGGTGGAGATGGAGGTGGTTGTGATCGTGTGTGGTGGGTTATTTTGTGGTGAATTAATCACATCGAGCAACGAACCAACGAACGCCCAAACTAACCAAAATCATAAATAGCATGCAACTGGAACAATGGAATGGAACAAAAAAAAAACTGAAAACATCACATTTGTACAAATTGCGCTTATGAAGTGAACGATATTTTTTTTTTCTTACATGTTGTTGTTGCTTTTGTGAGTTTTGTTGTTCTTGTTGTTGGAAGCACAAACACACACACACACATACACACACACGCACACATATACATTACAGGAATATTGCAGTCGGATGCAACCGACTGCACAATACCCTGTACACAGTTGCTTCTTGAAGCTTTCAACATTTGTTCATGAGAAACGCTTTCTGACATAAAACAGATCATCAGATCATGAAGTATATCGGGAATCTATAGACTATTTGGATTTAGGATAATGAAGGAAAGGGAACGTAGGCATTATAAACCTGCCAAGAGCCCACAGCTAAGATCGTAATCGAATTAAAAAAACATCTAGAAACCTTCCTGAAACCCAACGTAAGCTGAAAATGTAATGAAAGTCTTGAGAAGTCTGCCTGCAGTCTAGAATTGTGGCAAATATTGGTATTCCAAGTCGGACGAACAGTGCACGCAACCCATATGCTCGTTTACTGCGCTTTGTGAACAGGGTATAAACAAAACAGAAAATAAAATAAACAATTTGTGTGCAAATTTTATTTACAAAAAAAAAGGAGTTACTCTTTTTTCTCTTTTTACTATATCAATTTAGCCTAAAGCACATTTTCAGTGGGAACATTGGAATTGATTGCCGCTGTCGCGTTGCGGCCGTGTTCCAATGCCAACGTTTCAGCGCCCGTGCTCTCCGGTAATGCTGACGCCTGCTCCTTGCCGTTCAGATGACATACGTAGGCGAAACGCACGGACGTCACACGATGAAAGCTGAGCACAATTTCCGAGGCCTTATTTTTGTTACATTTTCATTCGATTTATTTTTTTTGTTTCAGTTTCACGTTTCATTCACGGGTTTTGCAGCGTGTTTTTTTGATGTTGAATGCAATGATTGATTGATTGATTGATTGATGTGTGATGTGAAGTGATTGTGTTAGTTGGTGGAGATGGTGGCAGGCATGTTGTTGTTGTTGTTAATTTGATGTTGTTGTAGTTGTTGTTGTTGTTGTTGTTGTTGTTCGTACATAGAAATGTTGACAAGGTAACGAAACGAAAGTGGCAGCAAAGAACGAAACAAAACGAATAGAAAAAGGTAAGGCAAATCAAATATAGTTATATATTTATATATTATATTATTGTGATGGAAAAAAAAAACCGAAAAAAAAGAGAAAGTATATATTTATATATAATTATATACAAACGTATGCATACGTATGATGTGATTCAAGTGCCAAAAAAAGGTGCTGTTTCAATTCCATTTTGTACACAACAAATTTGCAAAAGTTTTTCAAAAAAAAAAACCAAAAATCAACCAAAATCTTTTGAACATAATTGTGGTGCTGTGCGAATGCATGTGGTGCAGTGCGAGGCATTTGGGTCTGTACGCATAGAGCACTTACCATGCTAGATTGATATTTTCGCTGGATGAGATTGCGCGTCTTCGGATCTGCAAGTGATGTGTGGAACAAATGGAAATTGGAACAGAGCATTGAATACGTAAACGATTATGGAACACTGTTTGTCGGGCACTTACTGTACTCCTCCAATACGAAAATGCCGCCCTTCTGTGTAAAGCATTTGCGTATGTGATCCAAACGCACAAAGAACTGAAATTATTTGTGTACAAGAATATGAAAAGTTTAGCTTGACTCGAACCGAACAATTGCATGGGATTTCTCAACTTCAGCTTCTTCTTTTCTTTTTTTTTTTAAATATATTTTTTTACTTTCGGTTTAACCGTCACAAAAGAGTGCGGCATGAAACGCAAAAGTGCAACGAAACGAAACGAAACGAAACGAAATGCAAATGAAAAGGGAACAAATCGGTAGAGAAACAAAGAATTGTATTTATTTAATTCAATTGTCACACAGTTAGATTTGTGGATAGTACGTAATAATCATGTATCGGTTAATATGCATATGCATGAAATAATATTAAATTAACAAATATTTGTATTTGCTTTTCTCAGTTTCATATCATTTATTGTTTTGTGTACGTGTATTCTTTTGCGTGTGTGTATGTGTGTGTGTGTGTGTGTGTGAGAGTGGAACTAACGTTCAACGCAACGAAACGGAAACGAAACAGAAACAGTAACAGTAACTCAAACAAAAGCTAAATGCTACGCAAGCGCATGAACAGGCAGAAGCAGAAGCAGAAGCAGAAGCAAAAGCAGAACCAGTGGCAGCAGAGGCAGGCGGGGCATGCACAAGCAAAGCAAAAGCAAAAGCAAAGCAAAAGGAAAGCGAAAATCAGCTGCGAGTGCCGTAGCAGCCAGCCAGCAGCAGGCAGGTTAACGGTTAGTATCGATCATCGTTTATCGATTATCGATTGCATCCAAAAGGTCAATTGTTTGGGATTAAGATATTTTGTATTCTTTTGGTTTTTTTTTGGTTTTTCTTCATAAGGGAAACGAATGGAAGGCAAACGAAACAGCAAAACGTAAAAACGGAACACAAATGATACACTTTACCGTTGGTTTTGCACCGGAACAAAATGGAACTCAATCAAAACGAAACGATGGCAATTGAATTTGAAATGAGTATGCAGCAAACTCAGGTAAACGAACTGTTTTTCTTTTATACTTTTAATTGATCATAATTTATTATATATATGAAAAGAAAAACAAAAAAAAAAAAACGTATTTGTTTTTATTATTATTTTGATTTGTGATCTTTTTCGGGTTCGAGTTTGTTTTGTTCTAATTAGCACTTGTGAGATGGTCGTTCATAAATTAGCTGGGAATCGGTTATATACATATATATATATATATATAAGTTTGTATATATATATAGATTCTAACGAGTGGTGGGGCGGGGGTAAAGTAGAAGAACTATTCAATTGGAATAAACTTTCAAAAACAACACTATGCATTTAACTGTGTCGAGTGTGTGTATATATATATATGTGTGTGTGTGTGTGTCCAAAAAATATCATGGATATAAGTTTAGAAAGAAGTAAACCATAAAATCAAATCAAGACGAAAGTCGTTAATGTGGATTAGTTGAGAGGGTTTTAGAGTCTCAAAGGGAACGGATGGTTTGATCGGCGATTGGGTGGAAATAAATACGCCCAGCCTGATAATAAAAGAAAACTTTGGATATCTTTTCTACTGATCGGTAATTGTCTTAAATGGTACGATGTGTGTAGGCTGCTTGAGCTTTTCTTTTTTATTTTTATTTTGGGTTTAGGCATGGGATTAGAGTAAGAGCATGCTTATGCTAATTTCGAACGGTACGGGCGGTTCAGTATGAGAGCGACAGGGCACTGGCATCAACAAGTATAATTTATTTGAATATTTGTAGTCTACGTTCATAAGGAGTAGAACATAATTGGCAAATTTAAGGTTAGGAACGCAGGAATGAAACATAAAAGAAAGACGCAGTTAACAGTTAACAGAAAATAGACTCTTGGAATAGATGTAAGACAAATAGATAGATAGATAGAGAGAGAGAGAGAGATCGTAACATTAAGAGAGTTAACATAAGACATATGGAGAACAAAAAGACAGAGAGAGAAAGATGGAAACAGATAGAGTGAAACCTAAAGCTAGATGTAGAAAGTAAAAGGAACATAGAAGGAGTACGTACAAGTCAGAGAAAGAGAGAAAGAAATATATAGGTAGACATTTTGGGAAAGGAGTAAAAAGATAAAGTAACAAAGCAGGAGTATGCATAAGGCAGAGAGAGAGAGAGAGAGAGGGGGGCGGGGGGGGAACAGACAGATAGAGCGAGAGCCTAAGATAAATATTGACAGAGAAAGTAACACAGTAAGAGAGAATGTAAGACAGAGATAGGAACACAGTAAAAGTAAGTGTAAGACAGAGACAGATAGAGCGAAACTTTAACAATCAGAGATAGAGATAGAGCAAGAGCAAGAGTGAGAGGGCAAGTGCTCGCACTAGCAAGAGCTTCAAATAAATATTAAATAAAGCGCAAACGAGTGTCATTTCATGTCGTCGAAAACAATTATTTGTTTTCTTCGAAAGTTGAAAGTTAGCTAACCTTTTTTTTTTGGTTTTTTTTATAAACTAGAACTACAATTTGCCTTTGAAACTCAAAACTACACAAGCAAAATTATAAATATAAAACAAGTTTTTTTCTATTATTTAACTTTATTTAAGTTTTTTTTTTTTGGTGAGGTTTTCGTTTAAAGAGCAAGCGAGAGATACAAATATAACCAAAGTCGAGTGTCTTGAGCTTTACTGAGCTTGCAGTTCTACCAAAAACACGAACTAACTAATGAAAGATGCTAGCAGAACGTGAAGCTACATGCCGTCTAATTAGTATCTAAGTGCTTCAAATAATCGTTGTACGGCAAGCCGAACAAACATTTTGCTAGCTCAACTTTTCCAATTGGAAACTTGGGCCCGGTTTCGGTTTCGGTTTCCAAGCTGTTCCCACTTGATGCGAGGCCCAACTAATTTGGGCATTCGAATAGCTACGGCTACGGCTACAAACTATGGAAGTTATATATAGGAAATTGTGAACAAAGTCTGTTGAGTAGGACAGATAGAACTGTGTGTATGTGTGACATGTTGCAGTTGTGTAGGTGTAAGGGTATGTGTGTTGTGATTGAAACATTCAAGGAGCAAGTGCTCGCTAAACAGTGCCAAAACATAAGCAAAACGAACGTCGGAGGAAAGCAAAACATCGGCTAGCCGATGCTTAAATACCCTTGCAGACATTTGGATATACTTTGAATCCATTGTGTTCGATTTAGATCAAATTTTTCGACCGATTGTTCCTAGACATTATAGTTAACCGATATGGATCAGATCGTGAGTAAGCAGACTTTGGTCGGGGTAATATGATAGACTAATGAGCTTTACACACAAGAACTTCAGCATATGTAATGTTCCAATTCCGCGTGGACCTCGACATATGCACATGAGCCTCGACATTTAAGAGGAAGCTATTCGTAATTTCATCTCGATGGCTTTGAGAACTGACTAAAAAGTTCACGTTGACAGACAGTTAGGCCTACAAAGACTCGACAGATCGTGAATATCATAATATAATGTTCCGATTCCGCTTGGACCTCGACATATGTATGTTCCGCAACAGAAAGAGGTAGATGTGCATACATGAATATGTGAATAGCTTCAAGAACTAAGCGAACTTAGCATTGAATTAGACAGACAGACATTCGTTCATAGACGAGAGTGATCGAGAATATGAGGATATAATGTTCCAATTCCACTTGTTCCTCGACATATTTACTGCGCACAACATAAAGATCAAGCTATGCGATGTTTCATCTATATAGCTGTGTGAACTGAAGGCGACTAATCGAAAATTGGATGATATAATGTTCCGATTCCGCTTGGACCTTAATATATGTACTGCATGGCACAGAAAGAAAGAGCTATAACACATTTCATTAGGATAGCTTTGAAAACTGAGCGATTACTTCGCTTAGAACTAGGCAGAGAGACATGACTCGACTGATAGATATATATATATCAATTCTGGAATCTGCGACATCTTCTTCTAAGTGCTGCACACTCAATACCCTCTGCAGGATAATCCTAAATGCACTTGATTTTTGTTGTGTGTGTGTGTGTGTGAGGGGTTAAGCAACCAGATTGAAAAAAGCGCAGACTTGCGTTCAGTTCGAGCATTCCCAATATCAAACAGACTGACAAGAAAACATTAAAAAAGAAATGGAAATAAGTGGGCTTAAAAGTCCAACATATGGTTATCGTTATCGTTATCGTTATCGATATCGATAGCAATTTATCGAGCAGTTATTGAAACTGAAAGCTGGTTGAGTAAGCCCCCAAAAGTGTAGCCTGCGTCTGAGTATGTGTGCGTGTGCGTGTGTGTAGAGAGAGAGAGAGATAGACAGACAGAGAGAGAGCGAGATAGAGATAGCGAGAGAGTGAGAGAGAGAGAGAGAGAGAGAGAGAGAGTATAACTGAAAAAAACTGTAGAACAACACACACAATAAAATATATAAATATATATATATATATATCTAGTTGATGTATTAGTTCCAAAACGTTCCAAACGCCCGCTATGTATATGCAGTATTCGTATTTGGAATTGAAACGCAAACGAAATGAAAATGAAACGGAAACGGAAACGTAATACGAAATAACTGTGAGAAATGAAACGAATGGAATGGAAATGTACACGATATTCATTTCGTTCAATTCGATCAGAAAGTAAAAAGAGTGTGGGAAAACGTCAACAAGTTGTTTACGGCTCTGTTTCAAACGTAACAAACAAACCAACCATCCAGCCAACAATTTCGATTATAAATTAATTTCAAAACGTAAAAGCTTACAAATAATATACATAATTTTATATATATATATTATTTCGAATCAAATATATCTACTACTAGATTTAATTTTTTTTTTTGTATAGGGTTCTTTAACTGTTGTATGCCATTTGTTGTTGTTGTTTTTTTTTTCTTTAGGGTTTTTTTTTTTTTTTTTGCGTGGGTGTTTACAAAAGAAAATCAAGTGTTTGCTAACGAAAATAGTGAACTAGGTGTTGGAAAACACAAAAAAGAAACAAACACAAAATGAAATTGTTATTTGAATTGAAAGAAACGCAAATGTTGTTGGGAAAGTAAATTAGGGGGCAGGGCTTAAAGAACAATAGTTGCTTATATAAAATTTAAGTTCAAATATAACAAGAAATTTGTTCATTGCAATACCTCGAAATCCTTTATCGTAAACGACATATTCAGTTCATATATGTTTTTAGTATTATTTTTTTTTTTAGTATTTTTTTTAGGTATTTTTTTGTTTTTGATTGTTTTTTGTTCATTTTTGGCATGTAAGAGAGGCAGACCAATCATTCGAATTATTCGTAACGTTTCGATTCGATTCGTAGGGAACGTGTGTGTTTGAATCAAAGTCCACAAAATGGGAGAGCAACGGAGCAGCGTTCCACGTACGACAAAAAACATTAAACAAACAACAAAGAAAATTATAAAAAGAAAGTTGACAAAACGCATTTTAATTTAATTTTAGATGATTTTCATATATTTATATATATATATTTTTTTTTGGTTTTTTTTTTTTGGTAACTGTTTGCAAAATTTTGGAAATAGCATATCTAGCGAATTTTTGGTATTTTTTTGGTATTTTTTGGTTTTTGTAGCACTAAGGAGAAACGATATGAAATGTGGTTGTTGTTGTTGTTGTTGTGTAGAGTTATTATTTTTTTTTATTTATTATCATTTTTTTGGAAATTGGGACATTTGGTAGGACAGCTAAATCTTAGTTATTTGTTGTTGTTGCTGTTGTTGTTGTTGTGGTTTATTACTCGTACATAAGAAAAATAAGACAAATTGAGTAGAAGAAAAACGCATAGAAAATACCAAAGTAAAATAAGCAAACCAAATTACAAATTGAAGCTGTAAAAAAGCTAACAAACAATCGAGATAAGAAAGAGACAGAGAGAGAGAGAGAGACACAAGTGAAAGAAGAGAGCGAGAGAGAGAGAGAGAGAGATAGGACAGAGGTAGTTATGAAAATACCAAACACCAAATAAAATACCAAAACTGAAGTTAAAGAGAATTGAAAATAAAGAAGCTCTAGAGACAAACGATAAACTGCAAATATACACAAGGACCATCTCAAAAGCGACCAGTTTTTGGTATATGCACAAAAACAACTGGTATTTTTTTTTTAGTATATTCTTTTTTTTTTTTTAATATATATATATACGTTTCTTTGCTTTAGATAGGGTGGGGGTGGGGATAATACGCCTACTCCAAGATGTGGTCATATTCCAGGATTTTAACACGAAAAAAAAAGAAATTTCAAAAATAATTGTGGTAACATTGACAAAAGAGATTAAAGGAAACAAAGCACTTAACGGTAAACGGCTTGCCGACACACACGCACACACACACACACACACACACACAGAAACGCAGACATGCTCTCTCGCTCTCTTCGGCAACGGCATACGAAAGAGCGCAGCGCGTTAATAACGGTAATTGCTTACCGTTAGCTTTCACACAGCGCACCGTGATAAACAGTTTTCAAATAACGGTAATTGGTTACCTTTAGTTGTCACACAGCGCAAAAACTGAAAAGCGATAACCAAAAAAAAAAAAAGAATTGTAACCTCATTCACACAACGATTTCTCCATTTTGTTGGGGCCTGAGCGTATCTTAACTTTAGATATATATATATATAGCCCTATCAAATATATATATATATATTTTTTTTTAGGTTATTGTTTGTAGAGTTGTGTTTTTTTTTTTAAATTTATTTTCGATAATCAAAAATTGTACACATTACAAAAAAGTAGCGAAAAGAATTTGCAGAAAAACTTGATGGCAATGATGAAGAATTATCGGATATCGTTTGAGAGCAGCTCAAATGCGATATAATAAATATCAAGAACAATTGTTAGAAAAAAGAAATCAATAGTAAAAAAAACAAAAAAACAAAGAAAAGAAGAAGAGACCAAAGTAGAAGTAGAAAAAAACAAAATGGCGCAGCCCAATGATATCAAAATCGTAAGCGTAATCATAAGTCGACGTAAGAGAATGTGTTCAATTTGGTTAGGATAATAAAAATAAATTAGAGAGAGAGAGAGAGTATAATGAATATAGCATTCAGTACATTCACTAGCACAATATATGGATTATATGATATATGGATTTCTTTTATTTTTATTTTATTTTTTTTTCATATATTTTTTATATCGTTCGAGTGGATTGTCTTATTATTGGATTCAAGATACGGTACCGCTCGTTGTCTAAGTAAAATAAGTATATCAAAGAGGGCGAGACAAATAAAACATATGAAATGAAAGCAAAGACAATCGAAACGAGCGAAAGTTTCGAAATGTAAATGTATGTCGGTCATTTTCTATATTATGATAATCGTTTGGGTTTAGGGGGCTAGGGGTAAGAGGCGTACGTGAATGAACGCAAATAAAACAGTCAAAAACAAAATAAAAAGAAAACTTGCTCAAAACAATATTGAAACATATATATATATCAAATGTGAAACGGGAAAGTGGGGCGGGTAAGCTAACATTTTCAGAGTTTTATGCAAAGCTACTTGAGATATATATATTCCATTTATTGAATGCCCTTCGCCTTGGGGCTTTGTTGGGGTGCTACGAAACAGTTGACTGACCCAGCAGATCGTCCAGCTATAATGGCCCAACACTGTACATCCAAGACGTTACGGTAACAAGCAACTGCGTGTAGCTAATATATCTATTGTGAAGTTCTTTTGAAGGGCAGTCTAGCCTATGCTTAGGAACTAAGCTATTTGTGATAGTTGAAAAATCATAATGCAAAATATTGAGAAGGTCCTTGTATAAAACGCAGGAAAAACGAGAATATTAAGTAGATCAATAAAGTAAAGGGAAATTCGAATGAACCAAGAGGCAAAAGCAAACCAAGGCAAATCGAAAGCAAAATTATAAAGGAAATCGAAAAGAAATGTTAAGACGAAAACGATAACACAAAACAAAATTGGCCCAAAAAATTTGAGTACAAGTATTTGAGTATGTATATCCTTCATATTGAATTTGTACTGTACTTTTTTGTCGTATCTATATATATATGTATATATACATATTTCGATGTATATATATCTGATACATAGAAGTTATGGACGCACATGGGAAACATTTTTGGGGTTTGAACCTTTGCGACTTTGCGGATGGGAGACGGGGGCTGGCCTGCGGCAAATGGTGGACGCTGAGGCTGTGACACGCCCCCAAAACAAATAACCAAAGAAAAAAAGAAAACGAACGAAAAACGGATAAAAAAAAAACCAACACCAATTGCCCGGGCATATCGTATATAGATTTCGGATATACATAAGTGATTAATACATATATTATGTATGTAAATGTCTGTAGTTATGTGAACAGCTGGGAACTTTCTGGCTCCACAAGGACGGGGGAGAGAGACAGAGAGAGAGGGAGAGAGAGGGGGAGAGAGAGAGAGAGAGAGAGTGTGTGTGAAAGATTTTGAAATGAATTTGGGTAGACTTTTCATTAGATGTGAATATGTGTCCCTTCTTTTTTTTCTTTTTTTTGGTTTGGGCTTGGGAGATGGGAAATTTGGGAGATTTAGTGGGCCGGCGAATGGACTTGATGCTTATATATGTTTATGGCTTTTTATATAGATGCAGAGAGTTGTACACAAAACGAGTATTTTTAGAGAGCGGCGAGGTATATGTCGATGTAGATGTCGATATAGATGTATGTGTGTATGCGTGTGTGTGCGTGTGTCTATGAGTGTGCTTGTGTGTGCGTGCGTGTGCGTGTGTGTGTGTGTGTGTGTGCGTGTGCGTAATCAAGAGATCAAGACAATAACACTTACCTTGCTGTTGGAGAACAACAAACCGACACCCTCGAGACAGACCTGCAGCAGTCCACCCTCGCCCGTGTTCATGTCCTGCACCGGAAACTCACCGCCCAGTTCGGGTACATTTGTGGGCGTGCCGCCTCGCTCCATTGCCTCCTTAATGCAATTATACAGCTCCTTGCACTGCACACACACACAATTCCATATATTATGCAATATATATATATATATATATGTATATATATATGATGATTGGGTCTCACCTTGCGCGTGTAGTATTTATGCAGCTGCGTTTGTCCGCCGTTGCGTCGCCAGAGACAGAGCAGCTTGGTCTTTGGCGAATAGGTCATGTTGACCAGACGCTCGTACCACCAGCGCTCCACAATTGTCCCGTCCACGGAGCGCAGCACAAGGCCATCGTCGCGCACCTCCATAAAGCGTAACGGTCCATTCACATCGACGCCCTGGTGTACGGTAAAGCTCTGGCGATGCAACAGCCGGGAGCCCAGCGGCTTCAGATCTATGTCATTGCCATTCTGTAAGGCGGGTAAACAGTTGATCGTAGGCAGTAAAAATTCTTAGAGATATAGCCTGAACACAACGTTCCCTAGCTTCTGCTTCGCCTAGCCCCACAATATCTATGGGAAGTGTGTTCCCGAGTAACTCTGGTATTTACAGTCCGATCTTTATGAAAATTGCAGTGCTTGAACATAACTTAAACAAGTGTGTGCATACCAAAGCTCAAGGATCTGGCTTTAAAGGCTTGCTTTTGTTCTAATTTCTATAAGACTGGAGGTAGGTTGCCAAAAACTGAAATATTTCCAACCTATGTAAACTATTCAAGAGCCTAAATACCAAGTTTGAACTAATTATTTACCAAAATTCTCGATTTATGCTTAAAAGACTATATCTCCAAATCGATATTTATCGGTATCGGATATCGGCTAAATATGATATGATATGATACACTTGCTTGCGACAAATTTATATATAGAAAATTATAAATCTGCAGCTTTTGTAGTTCCCAAAATCAATCAGGACTGACTCATTCGACTCGTTCGACAACCTAATCAAGACGGAGATCCTGCCTAGCGCCTCTTACATACTTTACTCATTTCCAATAAGTTCAGGGCACATGGGAATGCAAGAAGAACTCACCAGATTGTTAATCTGATCAACCACATTGTGCACCTCCTGCGAGTAGACAAGCCCAATGTGACTCTTGCCCAGCAGGCGACGTATTTTGCGTCGAATCTCATCCTTGCTCACATTCAGCATCACCAATATTGCCGTCAGATTGTAGAGCATGGTGCTCAGCAGTCGATCTTCATCGTGTTCCAAACGCTTACGCTCCGATTCGCTCAGCGATTTGTAGCGCTCCATCATCTCAATGGGACCCTGAATGGATAAATCGAAGAAATGCATATTATAATGAAATTGATTTCAAGTTTTCCATGCATTTTCCGCCTAGGGAAGTGAATTCGATTCGGCTTTTTTTCATAAACAGTTTCCATTAATTATTCGCTCTAAAACTTAAAAAAATACGCTTAATCCAATGAAAATAAAACTTTCATTCACACAATCCCGAAATTCCAGTTTCCACCTTGGGAGGTGGAATTCAATAAAATCGTTAAAACACAATTCAATTTCATCGAGCCGTTTCCACTCATGTTTCGCTCCAAGTCCTTAAGAAACACTTTCATCGAATGAAGAAATAACTTCCATTCATACAATCTTGTTGTCCCGAATCCACCTTGTGAGGTGAATTTGACAAAATCTATGAAGCCTGAATGAAATGCGTTTTCACATTGAAGATCGAAAAAAAATAAAAACAATTGCATATCTAGAAGAAAATAATTCCTTCATGCAAAAGTTTCCCCCTTTTTTCACTTCAATGGATGGAAATTGAGAAAAAAATATTTAAAATAAGATTGCGACGATAAAATACCTGCACAAATATTTAGATAAAGCTCGGCTCACCTGATCCATGCCGATCATATCACGCTCCTGACTGACCGCATCCAAGAAGGCGTCCTCCCAGAATTGCATTTGATTCCACAGATTGAGGCGATCCTTGCCCAAAAGGCCCTCGAATAGATATACCCGGGGACTGTCCGGCGATGGTGAGGATGAGGTGTTAATCAAATGCCCGCCCGTATAACGGAAACCGGCGCTGAGCGTCGATTTGCCGGACCACAAATTTCCGGTGCTCTTTTTCGAATCCTTCGATGTGGTGGTCTGTGAAAGAACAGCGACAATGCACAGCTTAGATCAAGGCAGATAAATCAGATATCTATATATATATATAAATAAATTGGTGATCGGTGCAGATCTCGAGCCAAAAGAAAATACAACCAACTACAAGTTGACAAGCTGATAATTGGCCTCCTTGTGGGCTATTTGGGCGGGGCCTGAGACAAGTTGAACATATCGATTTATGGGTGGATTAATATTTTTATCGTTTAATCGTTTAATCGATTAATCGATCGATCGGGGTCATCGAGCTGTGTACTTACATTTTCGTATTCGGTGTCTGAGACTGTGGAACGGAAGCTGGATGGCATGCGGACGCTCAGACTGCCAGCTGGCAGCAGATCACTGACCACGGATAGCGCGCCCGTGGAGCCAGCAGCCTACAAATTACAATACGATACGATACGATATGTATTGATTGCGATAGACGATAGACGATAAACGATATACGATATACGATTATTCTTAGCAGGCCGACATTGAGCATTGATTGAAGTTCGAGGCGTGGCCCGATTATGCGACTACGATATATTATTAATATGCTGATAAGCGCTTGCTACATTTATATATATAATTATATATATATAGATATATACGATATATAGACAACGATAACGATTACGATTACGATTACGATAGCGATGCACGATATTGGCATACGATGGTGTACAGCATTGATACACTGACTACGGCATAAATGGACATGGACATGGACATGGACATGGGCGTGGGCGTTGGCATGGGCATGGGCGTGGCAGCTATGATTGAATGATTGAGCTAACGAGTATTTAATGCTGTAAGCTTTTACAATTGCCACACTCACATCTGAATCGAACGAGGTGAGCATATTCTTCAAGGCACTTCTCTTCTGCGACAACATATCCTTGAACATCTCTGTGGTCGACTGCCCATCCTGGCTGTCCGCCGAGGACAGACGACGGGCGGCGGCCGTTGTTGTTGCCGTCGCTGCCGTTGTGGCCGACAGGGCCGTATGGGTTGAGCTCTTGCGCGACTCCTGCGGCGAGGCCCACTCACTGCCCAGACCCGAATGTGAGCCATTCGGACTGCTCGGTGAGCGCAGATTCTCACGACTGCCCATGGGACTAGCCGCATGACTCGACAACAAGCTGGACGACATGTCGCTGCCCTCGTTGATCTCCTTGCTCCAATAGTGCGTGTGCGCCACCTCCATTAGCTGAAACACGGACGCCATGCCGCCGAGACCAAAATTGCTAAAAGTCGCGTCCAGGCCGCCGGCAATTGCCTGCACACACTTCAGCATGCCCTTCCACACGGGCTTGGTCACACACTATTTGAGAAACGGAAACGAAAAGGGAAAGGGTTTAATAGAATATGTCCCATAAAAATAACACTTAGTTAGCATTGAAAGATGAAGGATTGGCCAAAAGGCGTATCATTAGTGTGAATTATAGCCTTGGACTTGGGGCATTTTCTGACGTACCACATCGTCAATATGATCATCGGGCGCTATCTTCTTGTCCAGCGTCTTGTTAAGCTTGCTCAGCACGAGCGTGCGATAGGATTCATCCTCCATCAGCTTCTTGAAGCGATTGAGCTTGAGCCAACCGACACCCTCGCCGGCGAGCACCTGATTGGTGACATCCTTGAGGAATGCCTGATTCTCGGCATTGCTATGCGAACGCTCCTGATTTTGTTGGCGCGTCAGATCCTCCTGGGTTTGCCGCGGTCCCGAATGCTTTATGAGCGGCGTACGCTCCACCAGACCCTTGCGACTGGGAAACGGATCAAAATTGCTGCCCGCCTTGTTTTTAGCGCCGCCCATATTGGAGGGCTTGTGCTGCACCGCCGCCTGCTTCTGTTGGTTCTCTGTGCGTGAAGGTAACATGAGCTGGGAATTGAAATGCGGCAACATCAATGCCGGACTTACTCTTGCCAAACATGCCCGAGAACATGGTAGTTGTGGTGGAGGCCAGACCATTGAAATCGGTGCCAATCGAGGAAAAGAAATTGTTGCCCGGGCCGCCGCAGCCGCTTTGCTGCACCTGCTTCTGTGTGGCCAGCTGAGAGTTGGGCATTGCGGGCGCATTGCTGGACGCAGCCGAGCCGTGCTCTTCGATCTTGATGATGCCCTTCTTGGTGGCCGCCTCTTTGGCCGTCTTTGTCAGATCACCCAGCGTTGATTTGCCCACATAGGTGAGATCCTCCAAGGTGTTCTTGCTAACGCCAGCCGCCTGCTTGGACACCTCCAGCGCCTGCTTGGAAGCCTCGCCAGCCGCCTTCTTGGCGTGCAGCGTAAACTGTGAGGATCAGAGCATTAAATCAAATTAGTCCAAGCTTGCAATATATCAATTCGGGCACTATGCAAGGTATAACTTGAGAGTTACTACAGAACAACAGCGCAGAGTGCAGTATAATGACAGCCGGGACAACTAACTACAGCGAAATGATGCAATCTACAAGCTACAATGGTTCTAGGGTTGACAGCTGCCTCGAAAAGTGTTTTTTTTTTTTAGATTTTTGTTGTGTGGTGACATAAAAAATCGATTTCCTTCAGTCCTTTACAGTTCACAGTTCACTTTTAGCTTTGGAGTTACATCCCACAGCTTTGTGGCTCTATTGCAAAACAGGGTTGTCACCCTATGTTACAGTTTCTCTTTCATTCGATAATTGTTTATGAAGAAACGCCATACTTTACTTGTATCTTATCTATGGAGGTTCCTTCCCCAGATTTGCAATGCAAATTAAAACAGGGTTGTCACCATTCTTACACAGTTTCCATTCAATTCAGTAATTTTTACTATTCATTTCCTATCCTGTTTTACTATGATCTTTTGAATTCCTGTTAAGATGTCTCCTTAAGCTTTACAGATTCAATTCAAAACAGGGTTGCCACCATGTTATTTAAATCGTTTTCATTTCATTTGATTATACACAATTTCTAGTACATTCCTGAAGTGCCTGTTCAAAATGATTTTATCTTATCTATGGGAGTTCGTCCTCCAGATTTGCAGCTCAAATCAAATCAGGGTTGTCACCATGCTTTAATAGTTGATTCTCTTCAACTTAACTTGCATGAGTACAGTATACAGTATTTTCTTTGGTATGACTTTATGATTAATTTTTAGCTTGTAACTCCAATAGGTTTGACATTTATAGAGTTGTCACCACACCAGAGATATCCTTAACCGAACTCTAAATTCTTTAAGTATGGGCCTGGGCATGGAAGAAGGTAATATTAATGCTCGTGCGTGCGTGGGCGTGGGCGTGTGCATGTGTCTGTGTGTTTTTTGATGTTAAATGTGTTTAGAGGTTAGGGCGAGTGTGCGAGTGGCTGGGTACCAACCTTTTCGAAGGTGTGACGCATTTTATCATCTAGATCTTCGTCCTGTGCATGCTATACTTAGTTATACATTGGTTTACATTGAAGTAGACACATAGAACGTGCGATTATGTTACGATTATCGATTTGGTTGATCGATATCGATATCGATGAGAAACGTTTCGATTAATCGTTAATCGTTAATCGAATTTCGAATTACGTTTATCACAGTATCAAATTAGATGAACAACAGAGAGCACAACAACACACATTGAGTCCGACAATGGATGCACATTCAATTCTATATATATATGTATATAACATATATATATATATCAATTTGCTTACGGACACAACTCACCTTGTCCACATGGGCCAACAGACCCTCCTGGCTGCTCTGGCGCGTCGTCTCACGCACCAGCTCCTTGGCGTGCGAGGCAAAGTTTTCGAATAGGGAACTCTGCGAACTCTGGCGACCCGGACTGCTCGAACTGGAGCCGGAGCTGCCAGTGCGAGCCAATATATTGGTGACACTCGGTTGCTTAACGGGCGGCGTCAGCGGTGGCTACAACGAACCAGGACTGGGTTAGGTTTTTTTTCAAAAAAAAAAGGGAAGATCTTTCGCTTACCGGTATCTTCTTCTCGGTGCGCTCCATATCGCTGGTATTGCGCTGCAATTTGCTGCTGGCTATGCTCTTGCCGGTGACCGTGGAGGTTGTATCCGATTCGGCCTCCAGGCTGGCCATCTTAATTGTCGCCTCGAGTCGCATGGCCAGCGGTGTGGCCAGCTCAAAGGCACCCGGCGCCGGCTGCTGACCGGACTTGGGCTGAAAATCAAACTCCGAGTCGCGATTGAAGCTGGGCGAGCTCAGGTCCGAGCGACTGGATGAGGATGATACCGGTGAATCGGCACGCTCCTCATCCCCCTTGCTGGCCGCTGGTCCGGCCAAACCCTCCGGATACTGCAGCTTGCTGGGCGGATGATAGACCAGTGCCGGATCCAGATTGGAGGACAACGTCTGCGGCACGACATGCGGCCGATTATAGGAGCCAAAAACATCATGCAGACTGGGCGACAAATCCGATGAGGCCATCTCCGAGACAAAATCGCTCAGTGAGCTATACGAGGAGCTGCTGCTGTCGGCACCCTCCGAATCGGAGCCACTCTCATCCGTTGGCTGGCACTCGAGCTGCTTCAAGGAGCGCAATGCACCATTTAGCGAACTGCCATCATCCCACACCGAGAAGCGTATGGGCGTCAGGGAGTGGGCAAACCATTTAGGCTTATCGCCCACCTGCATCGGGTCCATGACGCCCGTCTGTACGCGCAGGAAGGCGACATTTGTGGGCGTTAGAGACCATTCCGCCAGGAATTCCACAGCCTGCGTGCGCGAAAACTGATTGAGGAACGAGGAGGCGCGCGGTCGTGAACGCAGAAAACTATTGATTTGGAAGGCGACAACGGGTCGCGGATACAAACGCAGCGTGCGCGTATGCTCCGCAAAATTGGCCAGGGTATTCTGGGCATTGAAGAAGCGCACCATGGCCACACGCGTCGCGACATCCACCGAATCGACGTCGGTGCCGTAGACAAAGGGATTCAGTGCCGGCGAATTCATCGGACTGGGCTGGCGGGACAACATTGCGCCCTGTGCGGACATCGAGTTCCGTTGACTGGCCTGTGCCGAGTGTGGAGGCGTTTGCAAGGGCAGACGCACTTGTGAGACCCTAAACAGATGTCGATTAGAACCGGTGAACCGCCGTACATGCTCAACACACTCAACACTCACCCCAATAGTGGCGGCTCCTGGAGACAATCGCGCACCGAGGGCAACAGCTGCTGCGAGGATACAGCCTGATTGGAGGCCGTCATTGAGGTCAAAGCCTGTCGCAAGGAATCGAAAGAAAAAATCGTCGCTTTAGTAAACTCAGCTGTAGAAAAAACTTGACTAGGCTGCAACTTCAACAGGGCTAGCTATAAGGATGGGTTAGACCGAAAGAGCGGCAGGGGTTAGGGCCATTTTAGGGATAACTAGTTACAAGGTGAAGCTTAAACACATACAGCATGCACACAGAAGAAGGAAGAGAGAGACGCTATGAGAGAAAGCCAATAACTGGGCTAGGCCCCAGTCAGAGCTCAGAGATGTAGCGAGATTTATTTGTGCAGAGAGCTAGCCAAAGCACCTATAGGCATTTCCAGGGCCACAAATCGAAGGATGAGTTTATGGTTAGTCAAATGCTGAGACTTCTCTAATGCTTCTCAAGGTCATCTAATTGGATACCACTTTGGGTGGATGCTACGAAGTAACCTTTATTAAAGCCAAAGTTCTTAGCTTTTGGCAGATATTTTCAGTTCAACATGATTAATTCTCAGTCTCATTCAGATAGAAAAGAATTTTATGTTAACAAAATCGTTTGAATTCGTCTTTAAAAAGCTGAAAAAATGGTTCAAACTAGGGTTTGAACCGAAAGATGTGGTTCTAAATATAGATGAGAAGTATGAAGAAAACTTCAAAAACTGTTTCATGGGTTTTCAACATGTTTAACATGGTTATATTGTATCTATGTTATGTTACATCTATGTTAAGTTGTATCTATGTTAAGTGACATCTTTTTCCACAACTGTTAACTATAGATTTGTTTCACGTTACATTTTGATAATACTTTTTCTCGATGAGAAAAATACGTTTTCTTTTGGACTTTGATTGTGGTGGAACCATTTCTGGAAATGCCCATACGCATGAGTTATGTTAGCTAAAGTTAAATGTTATGTTCTATGCATAATGTGACTGTCTGCATGCGTTTAAATGTATGTTAAATACTAGATAATATGTTAATATGTTATGTTTAGTATACAACAATTCATAGTATAAGTAGTATTTTTAGTAGTTGTTATGTACAAAACGCTTTCAACTCAAAACCAAATGATAATCATAAGAAAATGTTATAAGAACCAAGGAAGAAATGTTATTTAACATATGTTAAATGTGAACGATATTTACACCAAGTCCAGCTTCATCCATAAGTAGCATAGCCTGCATTTGTTGTTGTTGTTGTTGTTTTTATTGTTGTTGTTGTTGTTGTAGTTTTTGTTGTTGTTGTTGTAGTTGTGAACAAGTTTAAGAAATTCGTATAACAGATAATGCATGATTGTTAGAAGTAGAGTAGAGTACAGCATTAGCGAAGTAAAAGCCACAAAAAGATAGACACAAATATAGAATGGGCGAGAGAGAGAGAGAGAGAGAGAGAGAGAGAGTAAGAGAGAGACGGATAGAGCAATAAAAGTATCGAAAAAGTGTTCGAAATAAAAACAAAAGTATACAAACAAATATATATATATATATGTATGTGTATATAAAAAGAGTTAGGTTTAAATCATGGACGGCTCTGTAAGTGTGACTCCAAGGCGATATAGACATTTCATAATACAGTATTAAATATGTAGATATATTTATATATATAGAGCACAGTCATACAAAAGTGTGGGAAAGAGGCGATAAATTAAACAGTACACTTATCAACGGTTAACCGTTGGACTATCGATATGCGCGCTTCGTATCGAAAATATATCGATATCTTTTATAACATTCGAAGCGGGCGCATAACAGAGCTGAGCTCCATTTTACATGGACAATCAAAGCCTATATCTAGATATAGATATACAATTAAATATGACATGTTAAATCAGTAAATGCGTGTATCGAGCATCGGGAAGTGTTTTAACAATCACACAAATTAACATTTAAGTATTATCGCAACTAGCAGATACCCTGTACCCAATACCCAGCAATATGTGTTGATATGTACAGGAAAGATATATACACTAAAAGAAATTACCCGGCGGCGCCTTAATTAAACTGATTTAAATAAAAAATTAAAACGTGAAAGTCAGTATATTTTCGGCACGCCGAAGATTAAATACCCTTGCCTTACACATATAGGTGAGAATCGAGGAAAATGTCTTGAAAATATTTTGGAAAACGGAATATTTTGCAATACAAAAGACTACTTTTCGACCGATCTTTATTGATGTTGATATCATTTTGTATATATGTATGGGACATAGTAAGACTTATAAATGTCGAGTTTGAGTAAGGTATCTTGATAAACAGAAATGTTTTCCTGCCTACGTTTCGACCGATCTTTCCTATGGCACCTATCTGATATAGTGGTCCGATCTGGTCGGTTTCCCCATCTGAACTGTACTTTAAGAAGGTAGCTTTATAGCTGAGGGACAGACAAACGGATGCTGATCTAGAATATAGATACTTTATGGGTTTGGAGATGTCTTCTTCTATGCGTTACACATTTCATGATAAAACTAGAATACCATTTACTGGGTAAAGAGAGTCTGTCAGTCTTGACATTTGTCTTTCACTTTTTGGGCTAAAATAAAACTTAATTAATCTCAATCTAGCTTGGCTAACATATATCCTAGCTATTTAAATCCTAATCAAAACGTTTATTATACTGAATCGGAAATTCTGACCGGAATTAATTTCTCTGGGCACAAATCATAAATAATTGCTGCAATAAATTAATGTGAGACAAAGTTTTTTGTTTATTGTTAAGTAGACGTTTTGGGCCTGTGCTTGAAAGTTGTGCACGACTCAGCTGTCAGTTTGCCAGTTTTTATTTGCCCCCTCGTTTCCGTTCTGCTGCATAGTTTTATTAGGAAATTTCGTTTGCGGTTCGATTTGTTATTATCGGAAAATTTGTTTCCCGATTTTTAAGCTCAAAAAAGAAAAATCAATAAACCAACAGAAAATAGCCAATTAAAAATGCCGAGACAAAAAATTGCGACCATGTCTACAGAAGTGACGCAATCTCTCCGGAATGCAGAAAGCATGCGAAAAGTGCCAAACTCCATGGATCCACGCTTGGATCAGCTGGTGGTGTATAGCTCCGTGCTGGAGCATTTGCTGCAACAGAAGCTCCATTATGAGCACGAGCGAGACATGGAGCAGCTACGCCTCGAGAGATTCAAGTGCGAGGGTGCCAAAGATAATCGCATACACGTGCAAATGCAGGTTGTGAAGAAGGTGCAGGGCATGCTACCAGATATTGTCTTCAAGATGCGCAACGAGTACGACAAATTCGAGCGCTTTCTGCATAGGGAGAAGGCCCTCAAGAGCATTAATCTATCCCTATACGATAAGGGTATGCAGTTACTTAAGGCCTGCAAGAAGAATCTAGAGCAGACCCTATAGACATGGTCGCACCCGCATGCACACACACACGCACACACACACACCCACACACATACACATCTCAATCACATCAATTAAACACGATTAAGTAGTTGTCGCAACAAAATTAAATGGTGCCCCAGTCAACTATATGGATGCACAGAAATCTTAATGCATGTCCATGTATTTTTAATTACAACCATCCTAACAAGGGGCTTACCTGTTTCAGATGATTCTTCAGTATGGTACCCTCGGGCTCCGGCAATGGAGGTATCTCATCGTATCCACCTGTTGGTGGCGTCAGCTTGGTAGAATCCAAATCCACAACCCAAATGTCATCGGGCAACCTGCAAGTTTTTGATTTACATAAATATTTGTAAGACACTACCGGGCACTAGCAGGAACCATCCGGTAGGGCCTGGCAAACCAAGTACTCCCAGGCAAACCAAGTACTATCGGGCACTACCGGGCTATACCGGGTCATAGCAGGAATCATCCGGTAGAACCAGGCAAACCAAGTACTACCAGGCACTAGCGGGCTGTACCGGGCATTGGCAGGAACCATGCGGTAGTAACAGATAAACCAAGTACTACCAGGCACTACCAGGCTCGACCAGTCACTAGCAGGAACCATCCGGTAGTAACAGGCAAACCAAGTACTACCAGGCACTGCCCAGTACTTCAAGGCACTACCAGGTACTCGGAACTACCGATACTGCAAATTATACCAGGCATTACCGAGCTGTACCGGAAACTACCAGGCATAAGATAGCCCTACGAAACATTAAACAGCACTACCGGGCGCTACGATGCACCACCCGGAGGACACTATCCGTACCTAAAGTTCTTTTTATAGATGAGAAAAGAGGCTGGCACACCGATGACAAAGGGCGTGGGCGCGAGCAGCAACTGCTCGGCACAGCTGAGGCATGTGGGCAGCAACGGTATCACTGGAAACATATACTCCAATGGATAGAGCATGGTCACGAATGCCATTACCGACATGGAGAGAGCATTATAATCGCGCGATTGGAATAGCACCTTGTTTTCCAACATGATCAAAGTCCACACCTTCAGGCATGTCTCCACGCCGAGCAGCTCGAGTGGCAAATGCAAGGGAAAGTCAACCAGCGAGAAGCGTGTGTGATCCGGTAGTGCGAACAGCAATGGTTCATGCACAGTTGGCGACAGCACCTCCACCTGTGAAATGATGAAAAGAATTAAATAAATGGCAAATTATAAAAATAGCAAAAATGATAATTGAATCTGTTTGAAAAACTCGTTAGGCTTAAGATATATATTAAAAAATGGGAACAAGCACATATCGAAGGATTTAATTTTAGATTTTCTAGATCTGGTATTCCAATAGACTGAGACAAGTCTAGCCCGAAAATGATGGATGAGAATCTTGGAACGTACCTCGACACGCGTAGAGCCCGGCACCGGCACTGGCGTGGAGAGCAGACGCAATATCCATGTCTCGATCTCGCGCACATCGTGCAGCACAATGGAGGGTGTCGCCTCGCTGGCATGGCCCGTCAGCACCGTCCACACATTGTCCCGATTGAGTTTCTGGGAGGCGCCGACACGCTTCGGTGACGACGACTCGTTGCAGGCATCGATCAGCTTCTTCAGTATGAAGAGGCACTCACGGAACGTGGTGAAGAACGGATGATGCGATATGATGCAGAGCGAGGTGAGCGACTGATTGCGCAGCTTGGTGCGCTTGCGTGAGGCCCGCGGCGATGGCGAATGACTGCCGCCGGATTCGGAATCCGCTGAGGGTGCCATTAGACCCAACTTGGGCGCCGAAGCACCGCTTTGAGTTGGCGGATATTGATGCGAATGGAGACGCTGCTGGTCAGAGTCGCGACGCGAGGTCAGTTCACGATCCGAATCGCTGGGCGCTACGTTACTTCTGTAGTCGCTAGAAGTAGTTAAGAGGCCGTAACTATTATGGAAATGGTTTGGAAATCGGTTAGATCAATAAAGCCAAAAGCGTCCCGCCACCCAGCACCAGCAGCAGCAGCTGCCTGCCACGCACACACTTGCCTGCTGAACGCCGAGTCTGAGCTGCGCTCCATGCTCTTGCGCCACGATTCCCGCCGGAACGCCGATGAGCGTCGACCGCGCACACCTCCAGCCCCGACGCCGCCGCTGCCGCCGACGCCGCCAGCAGCGTGTCCACCCGGCGCTCCATTGCCAGCCGGATTACCACGTTCGGCGCCAGCGGCCGTTGCCGAGCAGGGCCGCTCGATGGGCCGATAGAAATTAACACAGATGCCGTAGCGTGTCTTGCCCGAATCCTTGTCGGTTAGCGCAAACACAAACGAGGTCATGTCCCGTATGGCGGAGCCGGTCCGTCGCGGTCCCACGCTGGTGCAGCCCTCCGGCTGGCAAAAGTAGACCATGTCCAGCGGCAGCGGAAAGTCCGCATGGTCTGATGGTGGATAGCGTCGCAGCAAGTCGGGCACCTGCAATACGTCCAAGGGAATAGCTCAAAATGTCGAAATGTTCTAATCGAGCCTTATCGACTAGAAGATGCCCTGTAACCCGCTCTGCAAGTGAATAGTATGTGCATCTTTCTCTTCTCTTTGCCCCGCGTACCGCATTTCTGAATAGCTTCGGTTCTTAAAGTCCGATCTTTGTGAGATTTGCATACAAAGAGCTTGGCTACTTTATAGGGGGCTTTCCATGAAATATACATTCCTTATTACATGAGGACCTACATTTCGCTGCTTTAAGAATCATGCCTTGAAATCGATTTTTATCGATATTTCAAATATATATATTTCAAATTTCAAGTTTTTAGCTCTTATAGTTTCTGAGTTCCCAAATATATTTCCCATATAGATTCGGAGAGGCTTCCTTCTAGCTGTTAAACAGGACAAACTCCTTGAAATTGCGACCACTTTTGCTTAAGTTAAGCTATCTAAGCTATACCAAAACTGAACATCTTCTTCAGCATGAGTTATACAAGATTCTATCGATATTTATCGATTTTAAGTAAAATTAACAGACTATCATTAAAATAAAGGAGTTCCCACATCTAAACTTGACTCTTGACAAGCCGAATGGACTCTAATCGTTGTCTTGGATGCCCTCGTCCCGTTGGTTAAGTACATTTGCACAACAATTGCGCAGTTTCACAGGGTACACGGGGTATACAAGCTGAATATTTGTACATTGTGGCATATTCAGAAGCAAGACTCACCTGAACGGGCGGCGCTTTGCTGCCCTGCATGCCCTTGGGCATTGGCGGGGTCGTGTGCGCACCCACAATGGCCATGTAGTCGACGAGTCGCGGGCATAACGAGGCGCGTTGCTGATCCGACATTTTGTGGGATGCTCTACTCACTACCCTTGGGCGGGGACCTTGCTGTAAGTACACACACACACAGAGAGAGAGAGAGAGAGAGGGGGGGTTAGATGAAAGATGAAATCAAAGATAAACACCATTAGTAAACACAGGGAAGACAGGGAACAAAGGGGAAGTGAGGGAACAGAGGGCTGCCGTTCACAAGGCCATTTGGGCAGGAGCTTCTATCCATTAGCCATGTCTGCTAATCGAGTTAAGCTCCACACGAGGCAGCCTTTCAGTAAGCCGTAAATTGAATTTGAGCCCTGAAAACAAGCGCATGCCAACAATTACCACTAAAAGGACGGATTTTCCTCAGGTCCTTGACTGTGGCACATGCAAAATAAAATCAAATTCAAACTCAAAAAAAAAATGACTAATTTAATTTCTGATAAATTCTGCATTCATTCATCTGGATTTCAAAAGCTGCATTTCTCTAGAGAAAAACACATATTATTCATAGAGTATACATAAGTATGCATAGAATTAACAAGCGTGCGGTCGCTGGTTCAAATCTGCATCCAAACGAACAAGCATGCAGTCGCTGGTTCCAATCCAACCGCAATTATCAATTATTCTACTTGTTAATGATTCAAGTCATCGTTGAACTAGCTAGTGTAAAGTTGATGGTTCAAGTCTGCGTCGAACTAGCAAGCGTAATGTCGCTGGCTCAAATCTGTTCAAAGTAACATGCTTGTAGTCGCTGGCTCAAATTTCCGTCGAACTTACAATCGTGAAGTTTCTGGTTCAAATCTGCGCAAAACTAATAAGCGTGAAGTTGCTGGCTCAAATCCAGCAGGAGTTTACGATTACTCTATTATGTTAAGTTGCTGGTTCAAATCTTCGTCAAACTAGCAAGCTTGCAGTCGCTGGCTCAAATCTACGTTGAACTCAGTTGCTGGTGCAAATCCAGTCGCAATTTTCAATTATTCCATGTGCCTATTTGCATTTATTATGCACAAAGCACAACGCAAAATGGAAACTGAATGGGATTTAAAAATAATAAATAAACGGGTTTCTTTTCATTTATTTGCTCGCAGTCAACTATGCAAAGGGGAATAGCTAAAATTAACCATGGACATTGACGGACAAGCCTTTTTATGAAACTATAAATACGCGCAAAGTGGAGCTTACGCCCCCGGTCGCGGTCCGTATTTATAAATTCACTTTGGCGCTTTCTCGGAAGTTGACCAAGACCAGACGCTCAATTAAATTCCCTTTAATGCTAAGCTGGCAAACAGAAAGGGGGGCGAGAATATGAAATCCTGCGAATGCACAATTTCATCCAATTAGCGCATTAGAGAAGTTATCCTCAATAAACGCACAGCGTATATTTAATAAGTGAAAGCGGTTAGCGAAAGTTAAATTGGCTTTAAGCTGAATAAAAGTTAATGAAAAGCGGGAGGGCTGCCGCCTGCTCGAGAAGTCAGCTTTACTTTTGACCTATTATATATCGGAAAGACCTTTAAGCACATATCAGCTTAACTACAGCCCAGTCCAGCTGCTGTTGGGCAAAAGGTCAGCGCTATTCGAATTACTTTTTATTTTGTATTTTAAAGCTCTATAAATCAACGACCTGCAGACAGTTCGAGCCAATCAGTCTCTAAGGACCAGACCCATCAAGTCAGTGGCCTGCTAATGACCTTGCCAGGGGCAGGGACATGGTGCAGGGGACATGGGACATGAGGCAGGGGGCAGGGACTTGCTGTCAGCAGCAGAAGCCAAGCGCATGTCGCTGGCAGAAAAGAGAATTCTTTAGAAAATAACGCAAATTGCAAAATTACCAATCGCATTGACGTCAGCCGCGAACGGATGTTAAACAGCTTGAGCATTGGTCTTGGGGAAATGAGAAAAATGTGCAGAAAAAAAGTGAAATGCAAAATAAAAAAAAAATAACACGGAAAATGGAAAAAATTGTTTAGGAAAAGGCGAGTGCGGCATGCAAATATTCGCTGCGGCTCTGGCTCTGGCTCTGACTCTGATGATTGGCATGACAGAAAGTTCATTTGGCATGATTGACATGCGGCTGCGAGGGGGCGGCAGGGAGAGGCAGAGTGAAGGAGGGAGAGAGGGGGAGTGAGGCAGAGCGGAAGGAGAAACAAGAGTGGTTGAGACCTTGATGGCACTTGACAAGCTTGGGACTGTCTCAAGGACAACTACTGTGGGATTTGCAACGCGCAACACATAATTCCAAAGCGCAAAGCAAGTAAAATTAAACTAGTCGGGCGTAGACGACTAGAAGTTACCCTAGGCACAACGCTGAGCGGAGCATGCAAAACACTTTAGCTTCCTTTGCTACTTTCCCTTGATCAAAAGTGTGCAAACACCAAAGCGCAAGGCTCTTTCTTAAGGAAAACTAAGTTAAATATTTCTCATCTGTATATAACAATTCTCTGGTGTAACTAGCTCTAACTATGCTTTAAGAAACATAGCTGAGCATCGATATTTATCGATAGACTAAAAGTCGTTGAATAGACTTTTATTATATCTGAGCATCGATATGCTAAGAAACGTCGCATAGTTGCCAATTTCTACAATTTACAATGGTGAGAACAACTTCAAGACTTCCCTAGATCGATATTTATCGATAGACTAAAAGTCGTCGAATAGATTTTATCATACTTAGACATCGATAGTCATCGATATGCTAAGAATCGCCGCATAGATAGCTGGTATTACTTCTTCATTTCCGAAAAACGATATTTATCGATAGACTAAAAGTCATCGCATATATGCCAACTCCTACCTTTAGCATATCTGGTAATCGATAATTATCGATAGACTAGATAGACTTAAAATCTTCGCATAAACGCCAACTTTTAGCATTTGCATAAACGGGCACAACTTCGTAATACCCTTTGAACATGTTGTTTGTACTTGTGGGCGGGGTTGAGGGCGGCATCGGATTGAAGGATGACTGCGTTTTGGCCTTGCATCTCACAATTTTCATTACTGCGCAAAGTTTTTATGCTGAAGCCACAAGGCCAAGCAAGGAATGCGACTCTTGTATGCGTGTGTGTGTGGGCGGGGCATTTGGCCGGTTGCACTCTTCCAGCTAAAAGCCATATAAACATGGATGCCACATGCCATGGCTAATCATGTCAAGGCTGCGGTTTTCTATATTCTATTCCCCCAACTGGCAGCGGTGCTTAGTAAACGTTTGCTGAGCAATTGCAGCTGCAACATACATATATATATATAAATATATATCTGTACATATATATGCTAGTGTATTTACTGTGGCACTTGCCACATTCCACTTGCCAGTTGGTCGTCAATTTCATTTAATGGACGCAGGCAGGACGCCAACGCGTTTCAAGAGCTCGCGTCATCAGAGGCTGTAGCCGAGAATGCGACGCATTTCAATTGTTTCCGCCCCCGCGATAAAAATAGCCAAAGGCAAAACTGTCATTAACAAAAATAAGAATAGAACAAAAAAAAAGAAGGGAAAAGGGAAAAGGGAAAATGGAAAACACTGTCAACGACGTTGTTATGAAATGCTGCCATAAAAGAGATAACTCTCTCAATAAAGCCCACGCCTCTGAAGCCTGTTTCCTGTTTGCAGAGGGTTTCTCGCCTCTTCAATTAGCCAGTGTTGGATAAGGCACATTAAACAAGCTTCAACATTTAAAATCAAATACTAAAACTCTTATCTAAGCTGTCATTTCTGGTCGCATCATGAATATTTAACTAGCCCCTGGCAAATGGCACGAATATAATTGTTTCCCAGAATAGCCGTCATTATCGGCCAACAAGAGTTGGGCAAAATGTTGGACAAACTATTAAAAATTAATCACGTCCCAATCAAAGCCAAATTGGCTACGCCCTCAAACCAATCAAAGTGTCTAAAAAGTGACCCGAAGCAAGCAGCTGCGAGCTCAGCAAGTATACATAATGTATATGTATTTATATATATATGCAGCACGAACTGATTCGTTCTAATCATGTCGAAGTCGAACGCCATTTTTAAGCAAGCTACAAGAACTGAATACTTGCATATATCCAGGGAAATGGATACTCGTATATCATAGGTACAAGAACTTATTTTAATTCTGAATATCTGTTGCCATTTACAGTACATCGATACATATCGATTGTCACACAGGATTTGCCAAGTGAAACTCGCAACGTACCAAGTTTAGCTTATATATACACCCCCATTTCCTGGGATATATTCCCCACTTCGCTAAGCATCGCAGTATTTACATACATTTAAGTTCCATGCACCGAAGTTATGCAAGAAGAAGCACAAGCACCGCAGCCCTTCTCTCTTCTGCGTGTCTCAGTGTTTGACGAAGAAGCTAGAATGTTTGTAAGGCCAGCTGCAGGGTATCTGCCAGTCGTAAATGAGTTGAGGGCAAAAAAAACTGCCCCTTTGCGTTTCTCTTTGGTCCATTAAGGATTTGGACAAGCTGTCAATATGCTTAAAAGCATTTGCTGTCTTTTTCAAATCAAGAGAAATTTGGCAAAAAATTATAAAAAAAACCTTTTACCTGTTCAACTTTGGCAATAGTTCCATCAATATTTAAGCTACTCAGCTGTATTTAAGGGGAAAGAGTCTCGGTTTCATATTCAATAGAAACTGAACAGCATCAAGGCTATTTTTCTGTCTCTGCAAGAGCTCAACGAACATGTAAGCTTCTCGGAAATTCTGGCGAAAAGTTGCAAGCGCCTTAAAAATGGTTGCCGCACATTGTTTCATCGCGAAGAACAAGAACAGGAAGAAGCACAAGAAAGATTGCAACAATAACGACAATCTGTCAAAAAAGTTATTTTGCCCGGCAGCGTGGCGGAAATGACGAGTAGGAAATGTTGGAAAATACGGCAAAATACTGTGTCACAATAAGCTTAACAATAAAACTCAAATGCAAGCAGCTGCGCATAAGGAAAGCGCTTAAAGAACGCGACAAACGCGTTAGACACCGACCCAAGAAGTACCCTAAGAAATGATATATATCATTAATTATCTGATATATAGCTCAATCATTACTTGAGTTAAAGGAAGAAAGCACTTTCTTTAATTAAATCGATTGCGTTCTCAAAATTTGCTGCGTCTTTGACTTTAGAACTTTTCAAATATAATTTCTATTTATGTCTAATTGGACATATTCCTAGGAAATTGGGTGAAAGGCAAGCAAAAGGCAGCATCCGCTGCACAAAGAGGAAAGTGTGCAAGGCAATAGTTCCCTTGAACATTTATTTTTTTATTGAAAATGCATTCCCAGAAGCGTACAAAGGCAAACCTATTATGAGGTCTTATTGTACATTCGTCCTTTGCCTGTTCGTCCTTCTGCCTGTGCAATGTCAGAGCTAGGGACTCGTACGATTTTGAGCTCAGCTTCTGCTATGCCCCGAGTATATTAAATCAATCAATCAATCCAGTTGCTATGAAATCGATAAAAATCGTTATCGACACATAACTCTCGCAACTAGAGACACCAAATTGGCTAAAAATTGACAAAAATCTAGCTTTTAAATGGCTAAGTTAGCTAACAATTGGAGTGCGAACTACATTTAGCCGTAAATCAATGCACGATTGCTATAAAATCGATAAGCATCGATAAAAACAAACTTTTTTTGCAGCAACTCCCACAGTCAATCAGTCAGTCAGTCAATCATTCAGTCAATCTGTTAGTCAATAAGTCAGTCATTTAGTCATTCAGTCAGTAATTTATTCATTTAGTCAGTCAATCAGTCAGTCAGCCAATCTGTTAAGTCATTCAGTCCGTCAATCAGTCAGTCAGTCAGTCCGTTCATCAATCAGTCAGTCAGTTAATAACTCGGTCAGTCAATCAGTCATTCATTCAGTCCGTCAATCAGTCAGTCAGTCAGCCAATCAGTTAAGTCATTCAGTCCGTCAATCAGTCAATCAGTCAGTCAGTCCCTCAATCCGTCAGTCAGTCAATTACTCGGTCAGTCAATCAGTCAATCATTCAGTCCGTCAATTAATCAGTCATTCAGTTAGTCAGTCAGTCAATCATTCAGTCAGCCAATCAGTCATTCAGTCAGTCAGTCAGCTAGGACAAACAGTTTTGTATACAGAGATTTATTACTTTTTCGGATACCTTTGCCCTGCGCCTCGTAGAATATTAGTAACGTTCAACGTTGGGTTTAGGGTATCTCCGAGTCGCTAACACCCCACTGAGTCACCTCTTCTTGTGCGTTGCTTCAATAGCTCAATAAATTGTGCTATTTGCCAACATGAAAAGATTCCTTCAAATATATTTAGTTGATTTCTTCAATAACCTTTCCTTCTCGCTTTGAGCGCAAGCCTCATGCCTTAGCTGGACGTGCTTGTGTGGCAGGGTATATGCAGCCTGTGCTGGCTTTGCTCTGTTCTCTTTGTTGCTTTGTCCGTCTGTCGAGCCGTCCGTTATGTGGCCTTAGTGCAGCACAAAAGTATGCTACCTCAAATCAGCTGCACGTCAACTGCTTTAAGAGCTGGACGAAGGGTAGCTGCGTCGACGTCGACGTCGACGTCGCCGTCGCCGTCTGCGGCTCGCTGGGCCACTTACTTATGAACTCAAGTGTTGAGGCGACGTCTCTCGGGCGTTGCTTTTTCAATTAATTTGACGCTGTGCGACTCGTTTTACATGTGTAAGCATGCATGTGTGTGCGTGTGTGTGTGTGTGTGTGTGTGTGCACGCCTGGAGCCTGTCGAGTGGTGTGAATGACTTGTTGTTGTTGTTTTTCTAGTTGTTATTGTTGGCTCGCACGTGCCCAGTTGTTAGCTGTTGGGCCAGAAAATCGATAAAAGGCTCGGCAATTGCATTGCGTTACGCTAGGCTGATGGTCAAAGCCAAGCAGAGCGACAGAGACAGCAACAGCGAATAAATGGGGAATGGGGAATGGGGAATGGGCAATGGGAAAGAGGCAAGAGGAAGCAGAGGAGCTGTAGCTGAAGCTGAAGCAAAGCCAACGGAGCAGCCAGCCACATCATCAAGGCCACAAAATGTGACAGCAAAGCTGTCAAAGCTTATCGCACACACACACGCACACACACGCACAGCTGAAATAACGGCAAAACAAGTAACAAGCGCGAAATGTGATGAGGAAATTCAATTAATGCAAAGTGGGCAACAAAACATAAAAATGCTGCATTAAAAATTCATTGGAAAATAAGTAAAGCCAAAGGCCAAAGCAAACACAAACACAAACACACACACACACACACGCACACATGCAAAGGCCCGCATTAAATGCGAAATGCGCTCAAAAGTGTGCTACAAAGGCAAAGCAAAAAAAATAGGCAAAATGAACGCCGCTGCGCCGACAGCTGGGACTTCCAAGCCAGCCAAAAGAAAACGCGACGCAGGTGAGGTGGGTTGACAAGGCTAAGCAGCAGAGCAGGAGTAACAATGACACACACACACATGCGTACTCACTCACACACACACAGGCGCACGCAGCGGGCGTTCGCGTACGCAACAAGGTCACTGGAAAAATCGTTAAGCAGCAGCAGCAGCAGTAACAAAAGCAATGACAACAACAGCCGCAGCAGCAAAGCTATTGTTGTTGCTGTAGTAGTATACACACACACACACACATACATATGCGTAGAGCTGTGTTTCAAAAGAAGCATAGCACAGTTTTGGCATTCATTTACTTACCAGTTCGTCAGGCAATTATTGTTGTCAATCAGCTCAATGCGTCAACATTTTCTATGCAATACAATTGTTGCGCTGCGAACGCGCCACACAAAACTGCTCCAACAATAATTAACAACAACAACGAGAACAAGAAAAAAATAATGTTTATAAGTATAAAACACGCGCTCAAAAGCAATTAGGCACACGTTTAACTGTTTATTTTGCTCAAATGCAGCTACTCAGCTTCAACTGGCAACTGTGCTAATTCGTCAACTGCCGTTAAAGCGTCTATGCTGCGCGCTGTTCGTAGTATAACTGATTACTGTGACTAATAAGCAGCCAGGACGCGGGCCCGTTTTGTGCTGTGCTGTGGTGTGCTGTGGATTGTGGTGAGTTGTGGTGGCTATTGTGTGTGGCCGCATGTTGAAATTCCTATACGCGTTGCCAGACTGGAAATGACGTGCGCGCCAGTCGGCCATTTGGCGCTTAGCCACTTTTTTTTATTTCTCTACTCATTTCCATGCCGCACTTGTTGGATTCCGTTTCCAGACACTGCGCATGACCATTGCCAGCCACGTGCGTTCCAATGCACAACACACACACACACACACACACACACACACACACACACACACACACACACACACACACACGCGCGCGTAATAAACTGGAATTGAGCTAAAATGGACGCGAGTCAAACGAAAATAAAACCAAAGCCAAAGTAAATGTGTATAAGTGTGCATGAGTGTGTGTGTGTGTGTGTGTGTTGGAGTATTATTTCGTATTGTGGTATGTGTAAAAATAAATTTATACTTAGGTGTATATTTATCTGGCTTGCGGCAGTCATTTGGCATTTTCTCTTATACAATTTAAAGGTTTCAATTTAACTGCAATAAAAGCTAAAACTATAAACGAGAAAGTTCAGCTATACACAAAATGTAGCCGTAAAATGGCTAAGATGTTAGCTGCTTGACTTGGCAGCAGTTGAACAAAAAGCCAAATCTAGCCACGTATTAGCTACAAATGGCAACAACATCTAGCTGTTAAATGGCTACAATTGTAGTGCCAAATGCATTTAGCCGTAAAACGGCTAAAGGTACCCTCAAATATCCCCAGACATAGATCAAAACTTCTCAAGCCCATAGCTCGATCATATCTCATCAGATTTGCACGAACTTTAGTTTAGGTTCTAGCCATAAAACAGCTAGATGAAGAGCAGCGCTTTTGCTTAAATCCTTGGATGTTTATTGGACAAACATTTACAACGTGAATACATACAAAATAGATATATATATATATTAGAAATATACACAAAATTGCAGTTGGACTGCATTAGAGACTACAAGAAATCGTTTGTTGTTGTTGTTTTTTTTAAGGGGGGGCATGGCCCGGCCATGTGCGCGACAAGCTTAAAGCTAGAGGGGAGACCGCATGGGCGGCGTCCGATATAAATGCACATTCTGAGGGGGTTTAGGAAAAGTGCGTCACATGGCGGCCAAGAAGGCATCTGAGTTCTTGTTGTTGTTCTTGTTGTTGTAGAGGTTTTTTCCTATATTCCTAGTTGATTTTGTTTTTGTTTTTTTGTTTTTTGTAAATAAATGCATGAGAACAGCCTTAACGGTTGATCAGTGAAGCTGGCGCTGGCATATGTCTTAGCGTAGCAAGAAGAGCGCCGGCTGCTCGAGATGCTGTTTCCAGACATTGGAAAAGCTGGCCATGGTAACGCCATCGATGACCCGATGATCCGCTGACCAGCTGACGCTCATGATGTGCGCCTTGATCAGCTCGTCCTTTTCATTGAAACGCGGCACCGCCTTGGTCCTGCCCATCGCCCCGATGGCCACCTGGGGCGCCATGATGCACGGATGCGTATAGGTGCCGCCCACCTGTGAGATGAGATAGAACAAGAAAGTACAATTAAAGCCAGATTGACAACAATTATAGACCCTGGTAGACAGCTACAGCTTACAGTCAGTCAGGCAGTCAATCAGCCAGTCAATCAGCCAGTCAATCAGCCAGTCAGTCAGTCAGTCAATCAGTCAATTAATCAGTTAGACAGTCAGTAAGCCCATCAGTTAATCAGCAAGTTACTCAATCAGTCATATAGTCAATCAAGCAGTCAATCAGTCAGTCAGTAAGTCAGTAAGTCAATGCATCAGTCAGTAACACAGCTAGACGATCAATCATTCAGCTAGTCAGTTAGCCAATTAGTTAACCAATCAATCAATCTGTCACTCAATCAAGCAATAAGTCAACTGGTCAACTAGTCAATCAGACGGTCAATGAAACAATCCAAAATCACAATCAATCATACAGTCAATCAAGCAATAAGTCAGTAAGTCAATCAGTCAGTCAAACAGCCATGCAATCAATTAATCATTCAGTTAGTCAATCAATTAGACAGCCAGTCAAAGAACCAGTCAATCAATCAATCAGTTAGCCAATTAATTAAACGGTAACAAACAATCAATCATACAGTTACTCACTCAATCAATCAATCAGTTAGTCAAACAGCCAGGCAGTCACACAATCACTCAATCTGTCAATCAATTAATCAGTTAGTCAAGCAATCAAACAGTAAGAATCAATCAATCATACAGTCACTTAGTCATTTAATCAATCAGTCAATCAAGCAAGACAAGCGTTCAGTTGCTCGCTCATTCAGTTAAGCTAATAAATCAATCAGTCAATCAGTCAGTCAGTATGTCAATCAAGAATACCCGTACTTCCGGGTGCAGGTTCACTAACAATACTAGGTAATCCCCTCGGCAAGGGTATCACGAATGGAACTTACGATGCCAATGTTGGACAAGGAGAAGGTGCCATCGGCAAAGTCCGCTGGGGTCAGGGAGCCAGTGCGTCCGCGCTCGACAAGAGCATTCAGATCCTTGGCTATCTGAATGATGCCCTTCGCCTGACAGTTCTTGATATTGGGCACGACCAGGCCCTGCGGCGTGTCGATGGCCACGCTTATGTTGTGGACACCCTTGTAGACAATCGACTCGCTGGCCAGATCCAGGCTGCTGTTCACAATCGGATACTTGGCCAGGGCAATGCTGGCCGCCTTGATGCAGAACGGCATAAACGTTAGCTTGGGCACGCCCTGCTCCTGGGCAGCCGACTGCAGCTGGGCGCGAAACTTGACCAGATTCGACATGTCGATCTCATCGCTGTACGCAAAATGTGGAATTTTCTGTGAAAACAAGACAATGCATTAGCCAAAACGAATGTCTTCTGCTGTCCAAGTTTCTTCCCAGGTTCCCAACTGGGAAATGCCTCGTACTATGGCTAATTTAGTCCAAAAAATCTTCTGTGTTCGTCCGAGAGAAATGCTCGAAATATTTATGGTTTTGGGTGGAGATGGATCGAAAATATATATACCAAGTGTCATATCTTCAGAGACAAGGCTTCAAATCGATATTTATCGATTTGGAGAAAGCGATATTTATCGATTTGGGTAAATCGATATTTATCGATTTGTATAAATCATCGAGTATTTTCTAGTAACCTGCGAATTTCATGCAGCTAGTGCTATCTACGCCGCGATAATGAGAAAACTACACATTTCAAAATCGATATTTATCGATTTTTACAAAAATATCGCTTGAAAATGCGATAAACGTGACCTGGCCTTTATAAACACGCCAAATTTGGTGTGCCCAACTCTTAAAATTTCATAAATCTGCTCAAGAGCTCGAAAATGAAAATCGATATTTATCGATGTGTGCAAAATGGAAGAGTTATTGGGGGGAAAAGCTGTGGTATGCGTATGGTATACACAGAGCATTTATGCCTAATTTGAGGCATTCAACTCAGAGGTATATTCAACAAATATATTCTACAAAAATCGATAAATATCGATTGGAAGAGTTATCGGAGGTCTGAGTGTGACATATATAACGAGCATACCAAATTTTATGTAACTCTCTGAGATGTGCTAAAAGTATCGAGGCTGAATATTAATACTGAAAATCGATATTTATCGCAGCTTAGTGTTACCTATATAAAACTTTCATGGAGTGGGCGAAGGATACGCAAACAGTAAAAACAAACTATGCTAGGCGTGAGATTACCTACAAAATACGTTTAAGTGATGCACAAAGCAGCTCGTCTGCAAATCGATAATTATCGATTTTGTGAAACTAACTTTGACTGTTTAAGAAGCGAAAAAACAGGGTATAACGGTATAACGTACCAGCGATTCCGTCATAGACTTGAGCATGGCCTTGCGCACACCTTTGAGCGGCTCGACGCGATCCGCAGGCGCCGCCACGTCCGGAGCAGCAGCTGGAGGAGCTGTCTTCTGCTTGAGCAAATTGCTGGGATGGGGCACATTTGTGCCCGGCGGCACTTGACCCAAATACTCGAGCACATCGCCCTTGAGCACGCGTCCATTCTTGCCCGTGGGCGGCACCTCGGACAGATTCACCTTGTGCTCCTTGGCCAGGCGGCGCACGGCGGGCGTGGCCGGGGTTATGTGACGCCCAGCTGGGATGGCAGCTGCTCCAGCGCCAGCTTGACCGGACTCCAGGTCGCTGTCGCTGCTATCGCTGCTGCTCGTTTCAGCCTCCCCCTCCTCCTCCTCCTCGGCATCCTCGACCTCGAACTCGAGCAGGGGCTTGCCCACCAGCGCCAGCTCATCGATGCTGTGATAGATCTTCGTGATCTTGCCATCGTAGCGGCTGGTTATTGTCACCGAGGCCTTGTCCGACTGCACCTCGCACAGGTTGTCGAACTGCTCGACGGTGTCGCCCACCTTGACGAACCACTCCTTGACGGTCACCTCCCGGATGCCCTCCCCAATGTCGCTCAGGTTGAAGGCCACCTTCTTCTCCAGGCAGGGCGTGAAGTGCAGGCAACGCGCCAGCTGAAAGCAAAAAAAAACATACAAGTTCCAAATGTTCAAGTCGAATTTCAATACAAAGTGCAAATTCTACAGAAACACAAATCGGGCTTGCCCGACTGGCAGCTACTCTGTAAACAGCTGTGCTAGATGCATGGGTTATGCGAAAAGAATATATTTTAAAATCTATATATATGGATATACTTCTTGACTTATTCTTCCACATGTTACATACATACTCTCAAATCCAAGATACCCACTCTTGAACATATACAATGGGTGCAGCGCATAGAATTGTAAAGTCAAGTAAACATGCGCCCCCTTTCGGAATTCATGCTACAACACCAAAACAACTGGCCCTCTCTATCTCACTCTCTCTCTCTCTCTCTCTCTCCTTCGCAGCTGTTGCATGCTATGCGTAGAGTCATGCTATTGCGCTCGCACGCATGCAGGCCATTGGCTGCTCGAATTGACACTTGTTGTGCGCGAATTCGATTACATAACAGAACATTGCAGAACTTCGCGAACTTGCCGTTTGTCGTCGCTTTGACAACGCTTCAGGAGCCAATGAAATGGTGTATAGAAAACGTATATAATTGAAATTGTTTTTTTTTGTATGTACTCACAGTGAGTGGCCTCGAGCGACGACAGTTTCTGAGCAGCCAATAGGTGCTGCCATGCCGGAGCAGGTGTGTTGCCATTGCCATGATGTGTGCCGCGTTAGTTAAAGCGTTTCGAGTGGCCTGCAAGTGTTAGATGTGTAGCACATTTGTGGCTGTTTAACCGGACAACAAATACCTTTTAAATGCTGTGAATTGTGTGCGTCGACGCGTTACAACCACTCAACTGCCCCCAAATGATCGCCCTTATCAAGCGAACTTGCGGCTGTGCGTTTGTTTTGCATTTGCCAGCTGTTTGCCAGGTGGAGCTGATCATTGCGCTGGCGCCAGCTAGCGGCTTAACGGCACAATATCGATGGGCAGCAGCGAAACTATCGATAGCCCTTCACGACTAAGCATGAACTGATTGGTTGATCGTTGCCAAGGCGTCATCTAGCGACCGCTTTGATAGGTCAACCAACCACGGACGCTTAAAAAGTAGCTAAAAAAAAAAACTGCTGACACATGCTATTTGGTTACATTTTTCTAGATTTATTAAAACAGTTAGGACATGTTACTAAGCTTGACATGAAATTAATTTACATATGCAGCTTACAGACACTTTATATAAAAAAAATAGATATATTAATCTATAGCCAAGATGTGACCGTTTGGCAACACTGCCAAACAAAATGGTTGACTTATCGTTGCACTGGCGCCCTCTAGCGCCAACGGCAGCCATACTATCGATAGCCGCCAACAGCTGGAAGAAACAAAAACAACGTGCTCAACAAAATGGCAAGTCGTGGAAATCCTAACAAATAAAATAGTTGTAATTATAATGATTGCAGACAAACTTGCGCAAGGAGCTGGAGAAATGCAAACACCCGAACAGCCGCAAGACCAAGGCGCTCGGCAAGAAGGCGCGCCGCCAAAACAACAAGCACAAAGTGCGCCTCGGCCATGCCATCAAAAGCAATCTGATGGGCGAGAAGCTGAGCTGGTTTCTGGGCCACATCGATGAGGGCCGAACAACGCCGCTTAGCCCACACGAATTCGAGCATCTTATCGCGCTCTATCTGCAACGTTTCGACGAGGAACTGGCACAAATCGCGCTAAAGCAATCGATTGGCAAACATCGCGCCAATCAGCATGCGGCGCGTCGCGATGTGATCAATATAACGCTCGAAAGGGAGCGCAACGAGTACCAAAGCGGCGGCATGGGTATGTCGCTTAACATATATTGGCTAAACCGAATTTCATTTGTACTTCTCGCAGAGATGCTCAACCTGTGCGATGCGGCCAAATTCAAGGCGCTGCTCGACTGGGATGGCAGCGCCTTGAGCGTGCAGCATTTAAAGCTAGATTTCGTCTCGCACAACATGCTGCAGCGGCTAAAGCAGCCGCCAAATAGAGCGCAAATGGAGACGGTATAAAAACAGTTTGTTGTCCGAATTCATATTTTTATAACAATAAATAATATTTACGCTAACTGTAGACACGCGAAAAAAAAAAAAAAAAACAAACAAACAATTGCATTGTCTGCATATCGATAACAGTTGCGATAGTTGAGCTGCGCTGCCAGCCTTTGAGCAGGAAAAAGGCTAGTTCGGCTTAAGTATTGAAAATGAGTCTGTATATATTTATATGCTTCACGGATTTGTTTGTTAATATGTGCAAGTGTAAACTATTTCATCATTAGCCATTAATAATTTGTTGTTATATTTATAAACCGAAATTCCCGCTAAAGTTTACTCAACAAATTGTGTCCGCAAAAAAAGCCGAACTGGCAACACTGCCAAGCACGTGCGCTGCAGCGCCGCCTATCGATAGGCAAAGGCACAGCTGTTTGACGTCTGTGTGCGTGCGTGTGTGTGTGAACTTGAATTGTTATTTGTGTGCGCCGATAAATAGAATTGTGGTGAAATAAAGTGCACATATATTTTGATTTTTTTTGGTAAGTTTTATTACATAAACAAAGGCAAGCGAAAGTGCAACGTGTCCAACAAATAGCAGCGCATTTTGTTTATATTTTGTATCAGCTCACGCGCAAATAACACAAATCACAATGGGCAGCAATTCATCCAAGGGAGTCGGAGTCGTCGAGACCGCTGCAGCGCCCGCGCTCAAGGCCGCAGACACAGCGTCCGCCGCCGGCGGCGGTGACAAGCCCAAATGCAAAGCCTGCTGTGCCTGTCCCGAAACGAAGCGTGCACGTGATCAATGGTTAGTAAATGACGCAGATGACGCAACATGTTTTGGGTTCTTTTCATATTGAATTGGCAACCATTCTTTTGCTTTGTATGTGCAGCATTGTGGAAAACGGCGAGGAGAACTGCACAAAGCTCATTGAGGCGCACAAGCAGTGCATGCGCGATGCTGGCTTCAATATCTAAAGCCGGACCTAGGCTGCTGGGCGGTGTGGTCGGAGTACTTAGATTAAGGCGGCAGCGTTACGCTCTGCGTGGTCGCTGCGTCGAGCTGCTTATCTAAAATTACTCTCTCTCTTGTTTCGTTATATCTCAAGCTAATTATAGTTAATTTAATGGATAAACATAAACCAAAATTGTTGATATAAATTGCATGTATCGATCCAATGTTTGCCCGCTCGCGGAAACGCTGCGGCTGTGACGTCACAAAATCGTGCGCTGTTGCAGCTATTTACAAATTACAAAGAAAACCCCTTAAAGCTCTGCAACCCTAGACCAGTTCGTGCTGCCCTGGCAAACGTGAGTCAGTGACGTCAATAATTACGCTGCAGCTGTGACGTCACAAAATCGCGCGCTGTTGCAGCTAGTTAGTTATTTATTGCATACAATTACAAAAAAAAAAACAAATACCTTAAAGCTCTGCAACCCTAGACCAGTTTTGTGCTGCCCTGGCAATGTGAGCCAGTGACGCCAGCTTGCGCGCTTTTTGGCGCTATTACTTAAATCTAACAATTGTTGAATGCACTTATATAAAACGCAGGGTACGCAGGGCGACCACGGCGGCCATGTAGAAGGTAATCAGCATCATGGTGGCAAAGGCGAGAATACGCGATGGCTGTGGCACTGGGTAGACGGCATAGACGAGCGTGTGGACAATGCGTGCAATGGCAGCCACGCGGAACAGATTGCAGGCCACCAGGGGATTGGGATTGGTGCACACATAGATCAAGGCCATGATAAAGTAGGGCAAAATGTTCTCCATGTCATTGCGATGCGCTCTACCGAGAGAGAGAGAGGGCGCATGAGTTGTCTGCCTGTTGCAGGATCTGTTTCTGGATGCAACTCACCTGCGCACGCGTTCCACGTGCGGATCATCGAACTGCACTTCAATGTTCTTGAAGAACAGATCCTCCTCGTTGGGAAATACCTGAAAAGAGGCGGCAGGCAATTGTTAACTGGAATACGCTGATTGGAAGGTAAGCAAACCCCATTTCCACTTAAGATTTCGTTTAAGTGCAAGCGAGAGGGAAAGTAAAGAACATGGGTGATTGAGTGGGGGGATTGCCGACACATTTGTAGCGCACTCATTTCAGCGTTGAGTGTAATTGCGATATGGAGTGAGTGTATGTGCGAAAGGGAAAGTAATTAACAGCAAAGTAAAAGAAGCAAAAATGTTAACAAGAAGAAGATATAACATAAGCCACACACAGTGCAAGCCTGCATTAACAGAGAGCATTTGGCATGCAACTTAGAGAGAGAGAGGCAGTGTATGGGACGCATCAGAGAGCGTGCAAATGAGAGCGAGAGTATGCGATAAAAAGAGCAGGATTATGAATGGATGTATGTATGTTAAGGAGCTAGCTGCGCAACTGGTTCACTCAATATTTGAGTGCAATTCTGATCGATGAGAGTGAGAGTGAAAAGCACGCAAGAATGGTGGGCACACTGTACACATGCATGAGGGATTTACCTTGCGCCGCACAGCCAGTGGGACCAGACCCAGCAGCTGTGAATATGTGAAATGCGACATGAGCAAGCGCAGCCAGGACTTACGTTTGGCCAGTACTCACCTTGTAGCGGAAACGCTGCAGCGCCGTCAGCAGCGACATGAGCAGCATCTTGGCCACCAGCACCGTGGCCCAAAACAGATAACAACAGAAGACTGGATTGTCCAGTGTCAGCAGCTCCATGTTGGCCAGTTGGCTGCCATTATTATTATTATAGGTATTATGCATCGGGCTGGACATGGCGAGCGCGTGTTTTGTCTGTGCGGCTAAAGCGAGCTTTGGCAAGTGATCCAATGCGCAGCCAGTTCCAAGCTACAAGACCAGCAGCAACTGGCCAAACTGGTTACGCGCGTGTGTGCGTCTGTGTGTGTGTGAGGCTAGACTAGGTGACTGGGCAGAACATAAAATGTTAAACGGCTCATTAAACCAACTTCACCCCCCCCCCTCCCCCCCTGTTCGGCCCACCCCTTCTAGATGTATTTAACGGCAGCGATGAGCACATAGATCGCCTCGAAGCACACAATGCCAAACGTTATAAAGAAGCTGAGCGCGCGCGTCGGCTGCGGCAGCGGCAGCACTGCGTAGACAATTGTGTGCAGCAGCCGCGCGCTGGCGCCAATGCGTATCAGCAGCTTGGCGGTCAGCGGGTGGGGGCCGCAGGCCACGTAGGCCAGGGACATTAACAAAAATGGCAGCACATTCTCCAAATCGTTACGATGCGCGCTGCAAATAGACGAAGAGAGCGTGTGTGTGTGTGTGAGAGAGAGAATGAAAAAGAGAGAGCGAGTTTTTAGAGCTGTAAAATTAGACAGAAAGAGTGAGCGATGGGGGGGGGGGGGGGGGGGGGGATGTCAATTCTGCAATGTAAACAAAGAATTGGGTGCCCACACACGACACATTTGCCAAAAACCAGTGAAAGTATTTAAATGTGCTGCAGCTCAGTGACTTTCAAACTGTGACAAACAGAATTGCAATATGAAACGATTTGAAAAGCTGTAAAATTCAAATTAGGAAATATTAATTTGCCTTAAACTCAGCCTGTGTATTACAGACTTTTACCACGTGTACCAAGTATTAAGGCTTGTGGCCAAGTGTGTGAGACTCAGAGAACAGTGTGCGAAAGCGACAGCGAAAGTCATGCTACACGTCAGTGTTGGCAAGAATACGCATCAATTGTTAAACATACAAAATGGAGAGGCCTGAAAAAAAGCCAAATTTAGCTAGAAAAGCTAAAATTGCAAAAATGCCCAAGAACTAAAGTGAGCTGCATGATGCAGCGTGTGTGGGACCCTTTGATCAGCGTGACGTCACAAATGTGCTTGGACAGAAAATGAGATTTTGTGCGATTTATGGACTCACCGACGCACACGCTCCACATTGGGATCATTGAAACGGACATCGCTGGTTTTGGCCACACGCAAATCCTCCGGATTGGCAAAGGTTTTCGTCTTGATGCGCTGCCGTGCCGTCAACAGGGACATCAACAGCATCTTGAGTATGAGCAGGCTGCTCCAGAATAGATAACAGCAGAAAACCGGATTCGATTTGCTTAGCAGAGCCGTACCCGTGGCCGGCTCGGACATGTTAATCGTTTCGTTGTTCATGTTTAACTGTAGCCGTAGTATTAACCGTTATTATTGTCGGCCACATAACGGCACATAACAGCTGGCACGATTCTCAGCGCTTCTCCAACTGCCTGCGCATATCCTGCATCAATCACAGCCCCCGCCGCCCCCAAACTGACCCCGAACCATGGGACCCGCCCCACCTGCACAGAATCGACCATTTTACCTGCTCGCAAGTCAATTATTTATTGTTTCCTTGACTTTTTCTTGGCAAATATTGCGTAATATATATATCTATATATATATATCTATAACTTGCGATTGGTAAACTAATACGTGGTATTGCATTACAAACGCGATTGGCAAATATGTCCACACTGTGGAATACCAGGAAAACATATCTAATATGTATATATCACCTGATATTGTAGGCCTTACCCTGGCCAAGAGTTTACTTATAGAGCGTGTTCGAATTTTGCCCCGAAAGGAGACATCTCCGAACCCATAAAGTATATAATATATATTCCAACATCAAAAGTCAAGCTGATGTAGCCATGTCTGTCCGTCCGTCTATCTTACGGTGTGATCAATCAGTCAACCAATCAATCAGTCAGACGAGTCAATCGGTCAATCATTCAGTCCGTCAGAAAATTGGTAAGTCAGTCAATCAAACAGTCAGTCTGTTATACAATTGGTCAGTTAGTCAATCAATCAGTCAGTCTGTCAGACAATTGTTCGATGGATCAGTCAATCATTCAGTCCGACAGACAATTTCTCACTGAGTCAATCCGTCAGTCAGTCCGTCATACAATTGGTCAGTCAGTCAATCAATCAGTCAGTCCGCCAGACAAATGGTCAGTGAGTAAGTCAATCGGTCAGTCCGTCATACAATTGATCAATCAGTCAATCAATCAATCAGTCCGACTATCAGACTATTGGTCGATGGCTCAGTCAATCATTCAGTCCGACAGACAATTTCTCACCGAGTCAATCCGTCAGTCAGTCCGTCATACAATTGGTCACTAACTCAGTCAATCATTCAGTCCTTCATACAATTGATCAGTCAGTCAATCAATCAGTCAGTCTGTCAGACAATTTCTCACCGATTCAGTCAATCAGTCAGTCAGTCGCTCATTGAGTCCTTCAATCAATACACACATGTACATACATACATATACATATGTATACACTGCATGTCATACATATTTATGTATGTACATACATCAACAGTATTGAGCTACTTTCCCAATGCGTGCCAAAGATTCGAAATGTAGGAACTACACGAATCTTATCACATTTTGTTTATTGCTGCAGTTCAAGAGCACACACACACACACACGCACGCACACACAGCTCTAGAATTCGCACATCCAAAAATAAAAGATCAAGGTTGCGTTTAACAAACAACAAAATACACAAAAGAAGACAAAAAAAAAACACAATCAAAAACAAAATATGAAAAAAGCTTGCACACATACATACAAACACATACACATGTATGTGCGCATGCAAACAAATAGATTATTATAATAGGCAGCATGAAGAACTCAGAACAACGGCAACGGAAGCGGAGCGAGAAGAAGCAGCAGAGAAGCGCTACAAAAACAGCAATAAGCGCAGAAATTAGCATTGCTTAAACTCCAAAGTTCAGCACAGCCGGCGAATTAACAATATATGTATGTGATTGTGTGAGTGTGTGCGTGTGCGTGTATGTATAACTATCAGTGCATGCTTTCATGCAAAGCTTAGTTAACCGTTTGTCATTGAGGCGAACTAAAAAAGCTGCCACAGACAGCAATGAAATGCAAAAACAAATTCGCTGCCGCATTTGTATGTGTGCGTGCAGCGACATCTGTGCGCGCGCGCGCGTGTGTGTGTGTGTGTGTGCGTGCAGCGACATCTGTTGAGTGTAGTTTGCAAGTGCATGTGCACTCGTCTTGATCTGCTGCCCAAACGATAGACGCGTGTGGCATGTCAAACTGTACCCCCAAGATGGCAACGTGCGTATATGCTATGCATGTACATATGTATGTATGTTTGTATGTGTATGTATGTATGAAATGACGTATGCCAAGAGTTGGTCTTTGCTCGCGAACGCAACTTGTCTAAATTTAGCAAAGAGTTCTTCTTGCTGCCGCTGCCGCTGCCGCTGCTGCTGCTGCCCAGCAAATGAGACTTGGCGCTCGCTCATCGAATTTTCTCAATGCTTCACAACGGAGGCGGCGGCAGCAGCGCTGCTGCTGCTGCTGCTGCGTCGTCGTCATTAGCCACGCAGACGGCGACGCCGGCGGCGACACGTAGTGCGTTCAAAGTCCAATTGTCTGGCTGTTTTTTTTTTTTTTTTCTTCTTTCCTTTTGTTGCTTGCTTCGGTCGGTCTGCTTCATGACGAATTCCGTTCAATATTTAAACGGGCCACGCACACACACACACACAGCTAGACAAGTGCCGAGTGAGAGAGAGAGAGAGAGAGAGAGAGAGACAGACTGTGACTGTATTAAGGATCATCAAGTGCTTAACGCTTACCGTTATCCGAGCTTAACAGCTGCTTTGCCTTTCCCAGTTAAATTTGGATTGCCTAGACCCAAGTAACTCGAGTTCTGGGCAACGCATGGACTGGAGTTTGATACTCAGGCAGTTCCATTAGTATTTATATATTCGAAAAATATGTGTACTACATTTTATAATCGAAAAGTTGAAATAGACGCAAGTAACTCGAGTTCTAGACAACGTTCACATGCAAATTTATTGCCAAACTTTTCTCATTTGCCCGCCAAGTAATATCTATAAAAAGGGTGCTTAGCCAGTAAATCACAAAAGCCATCAATAGACATTTTTGTGTCTATAAATCCCATACACTAGGCACTTTTCATGGGGAACTCAAAGCTCATAGCCATAATGACCTTGAAAAGCCTTAGATAATTCCAGTTCTAGCCAATATCTGACAGAGCATCTGCTTCCAGGCATATCTCATGTACTTGCCCAGCTATTTCTCTAGGTTTCCCTAAGTTTCCACTTTTCCAGTTAATTAAATATTGTTGTAGAGCTAGAAAAACCTCAAACAGAGCCAAGGAACTCGGTTTCTAGATGAAGTATACCTGGGGAATTGATAGAGACACGTGCACTCTACTATATAATGGATATCTATAAGGATTCCAATGCAAAAAGCCATCAACAGACCCAAGGAACTCAGTTTCTAAATGAAGTATACCTGGGGAATTGATATATTCACGTACTCTCTCGACTATATGAGGAAAATCTATAAAGACTTTATTTGGCTTGCTTATCTGAACAACAACAATCGGCAATCTACAGAAATGCGCATTGAGTATATTCTTTTTTTTTTTTTTTGTTTCTCGAAAGAGCGATAACGTCTGGAATGAAAACATGAAAAGTGGACGAACAATGAGCTAACAGCGACTCATCCAAATTACGCATGATTACCGTAATGGGTGCCGTACTTTCCCCGTACAAAGTCCACAGACACATACATATACATGCCTAAGTATGTATATCATCTGGTTTTATAATATTGGATACACAAAAAACTTGGACCTGGACATGCTGCCTGATCTGGTAAATCATTTGCAAATGAAGCCAGATGGGACTTGACTCTGGACTCTCTGCATAACACACTATGGACCCTATATGGTGCCTAAGTATCTATATAGTATATGCACATTAATCCGAGGCCCGATAAGAACGATGAGTGTCAATAACCGACAACGCAACGCTTATTTGGAGCGACTGACTTCATTGGGCGTTATTGGTAGGGAGGGAGGGTTACGAAACGGCGATAATATAACTGTATTGCCGTCTAGCTAATAGGGCTATTATCCATGATAAAAGTGTATAAAAAAAAAAAGAAGAAAACTCAAATGTTATCGGGCTGTCAAAGTTGAAATACCCTTGCAGACATTTCGTTCATGTTCTAGACAGTTTCTTATTTTTCACCCAAATACCTCCGAATTTTGATATGACAAGATTATGATGTCCGATCCAGCTAAGATCTTGTTCAGATAACATTTTTTACTAAGCCAAAAAATGAATTTTTCATAGGAAGTTCATTTGCGACGAATAGTACATATGGCAGCTATATAATATTATCGCCCGACTTGTGCCTAGCTCCAGAATTGAGGGAATAGTTTGCGCTTGCGTTATTTTAGATATAAAACTTTAAAAGATTCCTAAGCTGAATGATATATCAAAAAAAATGGGGAAAAAATGAAATCAATCAAGGTTTGAACCAGCATCTGGGACGCATTGGTTCGAACTTTTGTTGTGCTGTCATTAACAAAGAAAGGAAACACGGACACGTCTATAAAGATGGGATCTCCGATCCTATATGTTGTCATGGTGTAAAAATAGAAATACCCTCTCCGGAAGGGTATACAAAATTCGGCACAAATATTGAGTAAAACTCAAGAAACGCTTGCGATATTTTAAATATGTATTCGCTTTCAATATCCATTATCCTTTTGATCTCTTACCATTAAGAAATGAGAATAACGCAGGTTTGAACCAGAATCTGGTTCGAACTTGCATTTTGTTGTTGCTGGAAACACGAACACGCTATATACCCTATGGAAACTCGAATCTTTTCAAATCGAGACGCCCTTCCTGAAAGGGTATACAAAATTCGGCACAAGCATTGAATAAAACAAATGAAAAGTAAACAAATATTTGCTTGGAATATTTGAGCATGTTTAGATTTACAATTTGTTTATGTGCTATTAGAGCGCCTCAATAAACAGTTACGAGAAATCCGACACTGAATTGATTTACAATGTTGTAAATATATACAAGTTATAAGTCATTTAAGAGGCTAACCAATACGTATTGGTACGCGGCTCGTAAATGCGATTAGACGGGCCCAAAGTCGAACAAACGCATACTTTGGGGCCTACAGCTCATTATGGCTAAATACATATATAGCTAGAGATACCGATATCGGCGATAAGCCCGCCAATTAGCGCCCAAACTGGATTACAACGCGTTACCAGATATGACGACAACGTTAATTAGTTGAACTTTGGAATAATCTTTGCTACCCCGAGGCTTGTGGTTGTGCGGTTGACAAGTCACCGAACGCAACTGGGCCACGTACCGGACGCCTGATTGGGTACATACCACTTATGGCCAGCGTCTGGCATGGCTTATCAACGTACCCGGACCCAGACCCAGACACGGTCGGCTTTTTGGTTGGACCTCTCAAGCGACTATGCCTCGTATCCATTGAAGAGCCAGCGAGTGCCCCAAAATACAAGTTTCTTGTTTTCGATAAATATCGATTTTCAGTCCTGATATATAGATAAGTATCTCGCTGACTAAAGATAAGTATCTCTCTCTCTCTCCCCGTCTCTTTCTCTCTTTTACTCCCTTTTGCCTATGTTTTCGATAACTGTACGCGATTAAATCAAATTCGATAAATATCGATGTTGAGCCCTGATTTTGATCTCGCTGAATATAGATGAGTATCTCTCTCTCTTTTTCTGCCGGTTTTTTGTCTTTGTTTTCGATAACTCCATCTTCCAATTTACTCTGTTTTCGATAACTCTATTCAATTCATCTAAATTCGATAATTATCGATATTCAAGAGCTCACTTTAATGACAATATCTCGCTGATTATACATAAATTTCTCTCTCCACCTCCCTTTTTTTCTCTTTCTTTGCGATAACGCTACTTAATTCCACCAAATTCGATAAATATCGATTGTCAGCACTGATATCATAAGACCATATCGGGCTTGATTTCAAGCTGGTTACAGCCAATTTGTTTGTACGTTCTTTTATGCTTTACGTTCATCAAGCTGCTTTCCACAGACTGATAACTTTTCTCATTCCCACCTTAATCGATAAATATCGATTTTCAATTCGAGTCTTGCTAGCAGAGCATGCAGCATTTGACAGCAAAGGGGCAAGAACTTTAAATTAACGATAACTTTCAGTAATTTAGCCAAAAATCGATAAATATCGATTGTCATATTTTGCAGAATTTCAATGCCAGATACCAAATTTGTCATATATATGCTGTCATACATATTCTAAAGTCCGACACAGATCAGGCATATATTGATATCGAATCGGACAATAAACACAGAGCTAAGCGGCAAGCAGAAGCATAGCTGCTATATAAGTACAGGGTATCTGGGCGGTCGTGCAGCCTCCTTTGTTGCTGTTCTTGTTGTTGTTGTTGTGTTTTACCCACAAGTCATTTAGTCAGAGAAGCCGTTGCTTGAACTTTGGAACTACGCTGGCATTACATGGAGCTGAGCAAATATTACGTATGCGCGTTCTACGTGTAACGCCCGTCCATGGCGCCATACCCAATACCCAATGTCCAGCGCGGATGACATGATCCCACAAGCTTGGTCAAGCGAATGCACTGCGTCTTATCGCCCTATCGGGCGCTGAGCGTACGTATTCTCTGGCCTGGGTCAAAGGTTTCGCACGCACACAAACAATGCGATTGATAATAATAAATGCCGTTTCAACAATTTTCTATGGAACTGTGGCCAAGGATGAGCAGGAGCGGGGAGGGGGAGCGGGAGGTGCGCAGTGGACTGCGTGTTAATCTAGTTGTCAAGCATGGCGCGTCTTTTGCGCTCTCTCTCTCTCTCTCTATTCCTCTCACACACACACACACACGCCTGCGTCTGGTAGAAGCTGGCATGTTCCCGTTCCGCATCTTGGTGTAATTCAATGCTGGCCCATCTGCCGCCCAGCCCCCAAACACGCCCCCCACCCAACCCTGCTCTAGAGCCCGGCCAAGCTATGTAGCAGCAGCCATTAAAAATGCAAATAAACACACTTAATTTGATTAAACCAATTTCGAAACGTCATTTTCACATGTTGAAATTCAATTCAAGTCCAAAGTAACAATGCGACACTTACCAACACCGGTTGCGTGAGATGTTCGCCAACACAGTGCATGCGAGCAGTAAGCGGCCAACATTCAACAACATTTATGTTAAGCTCAAATATATACATACGTATATATATATTATAATTATTTTATTTATACATTTTTATTTATTTATATTAGTTTATTTAATGAACCGAATATTTACTTGATTAGCTACTTCTTCAATATTATGTATTTTAATTAACTTTAAAGCCCAAAAATAATAGTTGAGCTTGCAATCGTATTTGCTCAGCTTTTAAATTCTTAACAATTGAATTAAGCAGGCAAATAGCAACTTTCCAAGCAAACTCAACTCAACTTCTCATTCTGCCAGGCGTATAGAGACGCATACATTTGCCACACACTGTTGCTCAAGTGCAGCACTGCAGCGACAGAGTCAGCGGCGTCGGTGCGCCCGCAAGTCCAAAACTCAAAAGGCAGCGCGGAGAGCGACAGCGAGAGAGAGAGCAATTGACTTACTCTCCAATCTGTGTTACGCCATCTCTGTCAGGCGCACGCTCACGTTCGCTTTGGCGCTCGCTCGCTCGCCTCGTGCACGTCGGCGTCGACGTCGCCGTCGTCTTCTGGAGGAGAGGCCCTCATAATAAACCAGCCGCGCAGCTTGCAAGTCAGTCAGAAACGCGTTGAGTGCGACAGCGAACAGACGTGCCCAGTGTCCAAGAGATCGTATACACACACATATACACAATTCTACAGGCCCCCCCACACACACACACAGTCACATTTAAGTTCTTTAGCCCGTGGAACTAACACGCACACACACACACATACACACATATACATATAAAATTGTGTGCCTTTTTTTCTTTGGTGCCACAAAAGACGTCTAAAAAAAAGAAAAAGTGCCGTGCAAAGCAAAAGCATAAAACAAGAAAAGTGAAAACCAATCAAAAGAAGCGAAACGAAAGAGAAATAGCAACATTCAAAGAAACATGGCAAGTGCAGAGCAAAAAAACGCAACTGGCAACGGCAACGGCATCGCCAAGCACAATAACAGCGCGCTAACAGAGCCAATCGAGCCGCCCAAGGATGCCAAGGATCTGCTGCCGCATCTGGAGTCGCTGGAGCGCATCATAAAGCTGCCCGTGGTGAATGCCGCCTGGGATAAGTCACAAGATGTCTATGGCAAAGTGAAGGGTAAGTGCAATTCAAATCCTCTCTCTCTCCGCCTCTCTCTCTCGCTCTCTTGTTGCCTTTAGTCAAGCTAGTTAAGATTAGTTCGTGTCGGCGGGCGCCATGTGTTGGGCAGGGCATTGAACTCGGGCTTTGCTGCTGCCGGTTAACTAACGGCAAATCAATTGCAGCTTGAAATTGTAGCCGACTCTTCGAAAGAAAAAAGCGAAAAGCGACAAAAGAAACGAAACAGCAACCACAAAAGCAAATATCAAAACCGTTGCTTAGCGCAACTGCGACGTTGAGTGCAAAGTTCGCCATTTTGAGTGTGAATTGCTTGAAGCGAATTCGCCGCTAAACTCGAACTCGAAAACTTTAATTGAGCCGGCAAATTGCAATTGGCCATTGCCAAATTGAAGCCAATTAAGCTCAATTGACGCAACAGTCAATAAAACGCAACGCCAAATAACAACAACAACAACCATGACCTGGCGTCGTCAAAGAGGCAAAATTCTTTCACCAAGCTCATGACGCGCCCGGCGGTGCGTGCAAAGTGCAAAATCAGCAAATTTACATAACTTAATTTGTTGTCAGCCCAACAACACGTAGACGCAAGTTTTTAATTTTTCAAAATATATATGTGTGTACACACTAATGAGTGAGTGAGTGTGTGTGTGCGAGCTATGAATAGCTTAGGAAAGTGCACTCAGTGGCGTGACCAACAGGGGGCGCTAGCATATCAAAATATTTGCGCAAATTGTCACCGCCCTCTGCTGTGAATCAATGTTGCTCTATGTATGTATGACTGCGTGTGTGTGTGTGTGTGTGTGTTGGACTTTCGACTTGTTTGTGTTTTATTTAGTTTTATTTTTTTTTTTTTTATAACATTTTGTGCTACCTCAGAGATGAAATTGTTGTTGATGACTAAATGGGCAGCAACTGTCAAAGTCTAACTCAGAATACAGCTAATAGGCTAGCCAAGTCTTGGGTCTGGCAACTGCGCAGTTGCTTATCAATCAGGCAACGCCAAGTGCCGATAAGGCAGCGTCTGACTCTGGCAGGGGGACGCGTGGAGGGGCGGAGGTGCAGCTTATCACAGGCCAGAGCTCAATTGTGAATGTTCGCGCACACATCTATACATTTTTCTAGAAAGTTTATATTCATTTTCTCTCTCTCTCCCTCTCTCTCTCTCTCGCTCTGTTGCAGGCAAAAACCGCGTCTTCAATTGGGCCCTAAATGCCGCCGAGGATTGTGTTGCCCGCGCCGTGACGACGGCGGCGCCGATTGTGAATCGCTTGGATCGTCCCATTGCGTATGTGGATCAGACCTTGGTCAAGGGCATTGAAACGCTGGAGGTGAAGGCGCCCATCATTAAGGATACACCGCAGGAGATCTATGCCCAGGCCAAGAACAAGGTGATCGATGTCGTCCAGCCGCATCTGGAGCGTGTTGTCAAATTCAAGGCAGCTGGCCAGCAGAAGGCCGCCTCCCTCAAGGATCTCGCCTGGCAGAAGGCCAACGAGGTCCTGGCCACCCAATACGGCAGCCTGGCCGTCAATGGCGTGGACACAACCACAGCCCTGGCCGAGCGTCTACTGGAATACTATTTCCCCAAATGCGAGTCGGATGTCGAGGAGGATAATGGTGAGTAGCGTCTCTCAATGCTCTGCTGGGCGGGGCATTCCAGGGTATATCACATTTCAGTCCCGCCTTCCCCTTCAATCCTATCCTCAAATGGAATTCATTATGTTTGCATTAGTTTTAAACAGTTTCTGTGATGTTTTCTCTGGGCATAGTTCATGCTTAACAGACATATCTCTTCATAAACCCAACACGAAAGTTCCATAAGAGCTCGATGAACCCAAAAAAAAAGGGTTGATAAAATAAACTTAATATGTGTCACGTGGGTAATTGCATAGAAAAAGTCAAGGAGCAGTTGTTTAACAAAGATATAACTTTTGATTAAGCGGAATATTCCCGGATTGCGGAGCTTTTCGATAACTGGTAGTAGGAGGAACTACCGAAGGGAAGGAACTTCCGAAGAGAAAGAACTTCCGAAGGGAAGAGACTTACAAAGGGAGAGGACTTCCGAGGAACAGGGAGTTCCGAAGGAAAGGAATCTGCAAAGGGAAGGGACTTCTGAAGAGCAGGGACTTCTAAATGGAAGGAGCTTCCGAAGAGAAGAAACTTCCGAAGAGAGGAACTTTCGAGGGACAGTGACTTCCGAAGGGAAGTCAATCCTATCCTCAAATGGAATTCATTATGTTTGCATTAGTTTTAAACAGTTTCTGTGATGTTTTCTCTGGGCATAGTTCATGCTTAACAGACATATCTCTTCATAAACCCAACACGAAAGTTCCATAAGAGCTCGATGAACCCAAAAAAAAAGGGTTGATAAAATAAACTTAATATGTGTCACGTGGGTAATTGCATAGAAAAAGTCAAGGAGCAGTTGTTTAACAAAGATATAACTTTTGATTAAGCGGAATATTCCCGGATTGCGGAGCTTTTCGATAACTGGTAGTAGGAGGAACTACCGAAGGGAAGGAACTTCCGAAGAGAAAGAACTTCCGAAGGGAAGAGACTTACAAAGGGAGAGGACTTCCGAGGAACAGGGAGTTCCGAAGGAAAGGAATCTGCAAAGGGAAGGGACTTCTGAAGAGCAGGGACTTCTAAATGGAAGGAGCTTCCGAAGAGAAGAAACTTCCGAAGAGAGGAACTTTCGAGGGACAGTGACTTCCGAAGGGAAGGAATATGCAAAGGGAAGGAACTTACAAAGGGAAGAGACTTCCGAGGAACAGAGAGATCCGAAGGAATGGGACCTTCAAAGGGAAGGGACTTCCGAAGAGAAGGGACTTCTAAATGAAAGGAACTTCCGAAGAGAGGAACTTCTGAAGGGAAGGGACGGATAGAACTTTCCAAGGGAAGGAATTTCCGAAGGGAACGGACTTCCGAACCCAATACAGAGCCCAACGTTGCGGTGTTTTTGTCCGTTTACCGAAGATGTGCGCTTTCGTGAGGAGATAAGTATTCCTGGTTAGTCCAGTCGATCTAGAAAGGCCGACCTGTCCGTATTTGAAGAACTATGCGAGTTAGAGTCTTAAAATCTGGTATGTAGCTCCGCCAAAGTCCCCTCCCCATTTCAATGAAGTCTATAAAGATGTACATCGAAACTCAGCTCTCTTCAAACATATCTCTCAGGTTAGTCGACTTTCGTCGCGAAGTTTCCTTATACTTTCCTCGAGCCCTGGAATTGCATACATAAAACGTCTTTAGTTTTGGTCTCTTGTTCGGTTTTGGTCTCGATTTCGTTATGAATAAATCGTAAATATTTCTAATTCTCAGATAATAAACAAAATGCTGTCGTGCGAAATGGCAAAAATGCTGAGACTGACAGTAAGTGTGCCCCCAAAAAAAAACACAGCCCAAATAAAACTAACCCCCAACACCCAACTCACAAAGCATGTTTATATTGTTAACTAATCCATTAAAAAGCTAAGTTCAAATAGAGTTTTTTTTGGCGTCAGTTTTAGCTGAAGTCAGGTCGCAACATTCCTAGGGCAAATGTTTAAAGAATCCGACCCCTCTTTTAAAAATTTGTCCAAACTATGCATGCAGTGTTGACTAATTTGCTAAAAACTATGTTTCTTTTTTCGTCTCCTCTCTCTCTCTCTCTCTCTCTGCTCTCTTGTAGTTATTGTTATTGGGGAGCCTGACTATGATCAAGAGATTGACACTAGATTCTTAGTAGCCGCCTCCACGGTATTTTTGTCCATGTCGTTGAAAATCATAACCGAAATTGTTGAATACATTAGAAGAAATCCAGAGATCGTAGACATTATCGATAGGGAAATCAACAAGCTAATGGTAAGCTAATCATGCCAAATCTCTAATATACTATATATATGTAATTGTCATAGCTAAAAAGCAATTGTTTGTGTGTGTCTGCATGATGCTTGTAATTCGCAACGAGTTCAAGCTTAGGCTAACAGCGTTGCCAGATCGCTGGCAAAATGAGTTGTCATTAACAATGAATCTTATGCATTTGTCAAAATATATTAATGTACTTATATTGTTGTTATATTTATGCTTTGCTTTTGCAGTGCCAGTTCCCGCCAGCGAGGACCCAGTACTACACACAGTCCAGACCGTTGGCCGCCTATCCAATAAGATCTCGCGTCGCGTCTATAGAAATGTCTCCAGACAGATCAAACAGGTCCAACAGGGCAACATCAACGACTATCTGAGCTCATTGATAGCCGCCCTCAAGCTGCATCAGTACATCAACTTCATCAACTCATCGATGGGCACAAATGTCGAGCAGTCCACGTTAGCCAGCGACAACTGTACACCCTACGGGCCCAGCAACAGCAACAACATCATTAGCAGCAGCAGCGCCAACACCAAAGCAGCGGCCAGCAGCGGCAACAGCAGTGCCAAGAGCAAAGTGAGCACAGTTGCGCCATCTATCGGACAATAAATGTGCAGCTGCACGCGTTGGATTTGGTTGAATGTTGCGCCCCCTTATTAGAGCAGGGTCAGAGCACTTTCCAATTGGAAAGAAAACATCTGCCACTCTCCCGAAAAATCCAACCTGTTCGCCTCTCATTTTCTTATTTAGTTTTATTTTTATGCGCCCATTTTTTTTTTGCAATTCGTTTTTTTTTTTTTTTCGTTTTTAAGAAGGTGGCCTAAGCAGCCCGCCGCCCTGCACCACCCCACCCCTCCCCCCTACCCACACACACACACACACACCCAAGCGTTTGCTTTGTAAATATTTATTTGAAGTAACACACATACACACACACACACACATATATACACATATTGATATAAGTTGTAGTTGTAAAAGATTTTAAACATTTTTTTTTTAGCTGTGCTAAATCTAAAAACAAACACGCCACCTGGCGGCCATGTGCCACACACATGCATTGAATGGAGAATATAAGAAAACAAAACAAAATTCTGATCAGAAACCATGCAAAATACATGCACATGTATAACACACCCCCCCCCTCACGACCCACGCCCCGCTAAGAACACACCATATACCGTAAACGATATACTAATTAACGATATCGTATATCGTAAAAGAAACACTGAATTATAGTTATGTAGCTAGAGCGAGATAGAAAGAGTTAGAGAGAGAGACAGATCGTCGTTTATGTTGTATGCTTAATGAATATATATACATATATATATATATATACGATTGTAATACTGATGTTTTAACTATGCTTAAAATATGTAACATTATCTTAGCTGATGAATTATGCTTTAAATATATGAAAACTTATATATATATATATATATATATATATACACACACACACATATATATATATATATATATACTTTTGCGCTAACAAAAAAAAAAAAAACAAAAAACGCCAACTAAATGGAAAAGTAATCATAATAAAAATGAGAAATGAAACAAAAAAAAAAAAAAGAAAAAAAAAGCAATAAATAAATATAATTGTGAATTATGAACGTTGCGCCCAGATAAGCTCATGTCGGGGGTCTTAAAAAAACATCAGACAAATGGCATTAAATTTGATTTCTGATCGAAAGCCCACTCGACAGATAAACAAGTACATACCCATATCTACATACATACACATACATACATACATATATATATATGCATATATATATATACATTTATGTGTTTACAGATATCTGTGCTGTGGCCCAATTTCACGATGACTCGAACTGTTCCATTTCCTATTCCAAAGTTCCCGTCGACATTTTCACAGCGATAAGAAATGCCCATATATATATATATATATATATATATAAATATATATGGGCATTTCTTATATATATATATACCCATGTATACTTATATATCTATATATATATATATATAGTAGGGCTTGGCATGCTTATAAACACTTATCTGTTTGCTTTTTTTGCACTTCTTTGATCTTGTTTTGGTTCATGGCTGGTTCCTTGGTTCATTCGTTCCTTGGTTCATTAGTTAATTGGTTCATAATTTCCTTGGCTCTTTAGTTACTTGGTTCATTACTTTCTTGATTCATTAGTTCCTTGGTTCCTTGGTTCTTTAGTTAGTTGGTTCCTTAGTTAATTAGTTTCATGGTTCCTTGGTTCATTAGTTCCTTGGCTCATTAGTTTCTTGGTGCCTTGGTTCATTAGCTAATTGGTTCCTTAGTTAATAAGTTTCTTGGTTCCTTGGTTCTTTAGTTCCTTGTTTCATTGGTTCCTTGGCTCTTTAGTTCCTTGGTTCCGTAGTTCATTAGTTTCTTGGCTCTTTAGTTCCTTGGCGCATTAGTTACTTGGTTCATTAGTTCCTTGGCTCATTAGTTTCTTGGTTCCTTAGCTCATTAGCTCCTTGGTTCATTAGTTCCTTGTTTCATTAGTTCCTTGGTTCCTTGGTGCATTAGTTCCCTGGTTCCTTAGTTCATTAGTTTCTTGTTTCGATTCACGCTTTGAACCAGTTCCCCGACTCGTGGTTCCTCTGCAGAACCAGTTTCTTAAAGTTTTAATAAAGTTATTTAGTTACTATAAAACTAAAAGATTTATAAGAATACTTGTATATATATATATATATATATATTAGGATATCTTCGGCATGCCGAAGTTTTGATACCCTTGCAGACATCTCCCCATTGCAGATTTGCGAGAGTATTAAAGCTAAAAAATGTTTCTTGAAGTATATTTTAAGACAGAATATTTTGCCATATAAGATCCTACTATTCCATCGATCTATCCAATATCCTAATAATACGCTCTTTTAGCTGCTTCCGGCCCTAAACTCGCCCTATGAGCAAAACTTTCCCAATTAACTCGGCTGTTTGGAGTTCTATGTGGGCAAAATTTCTACAGCCTAATTGGGGCACAGAAAAGTGTGAACATCCGAAAGCCCAAGGCGCTATCTCTTATATTAACAATGTTGCTACAATTCCTAGGTCAATGGAGGTTGGGATCCAAAAATAAAGAAATGCGCACAAGCTGCGCGAGCCGCAACACAGATTACATTCCAAATTTGGTGCATATAGCTTGAATAGTTCTCGAGTTATGCCCGAAAGAGCAAAGCTTCAAATCGATAACTATCGATAGACGAGTTATCGAAAGCGAATATGAATGAGATCGCCTTGGCAAACGGTTTTTATGAGTGCACTCGAGTTTATTCAAGTGAATGCAATTTGATTAAGTATCAAGAAATACGACATCCTTTGGCTTATCGGTCGAAGAGGTACTTCGATAGCGTTCGCCGTTCTATTTAAAGGCTTTTTATTGGGTCGTAAATCCCAGAGATAACATTTTGCCGAGCTTTATGTTTCTATCTATACCAGGCCTCGGAGAGGATGGCATTATTCGAGGAAATTCCACATGAAAAATACAAGAGATTTATGATTGAGAGGATACTTAAATATAAATCTGTTAGTTTTGATTGACTGATTGATTGACTGACTGAATGACTGTCTGGCTGATTGATTGAGTGACTGATTGACGGACTTGTGCTGACTGATTGGCCACTGCCGAGTGATTGGCTGATTGACAAGCTGCTTGATTGACTGATTGACTGGCTAACTGATCGACTGATTGACGGCCTGTTTGTCCCAACTAATTGACTGCGCGATTGACTTAGTAATCGCTTGACTAATTGATTGACTGACTGATTTAAGGTCCCAATTGATTGACTACAGACTCGGCTGCCTGAGCTACTATATTGCCTCAACAATTGCTTGAATGACTTGCTGGTCAACTGATTGAAAGACTACTAATTGTCTTAATGATTGGCTGTGTGATTGATTGACTGATTGATTGACTTACTGACTAGTTATGTGATTGACACACACGCTGATTGGCTGATTAAGTGATGTAATTGATGATTGACTGTTTATTCAATGTAATTGATTGACTGATTGATTAGCTGACCAAGCAGCTAAGTGATTGATTGACTGCCTAGTTGAATGAGTGAATATTTAACGGACTGATTGACGAACTGTTTGTACCGACTAAGTGATTGACCGACTGACTGACTGACTGACTGGTGATTGATTGACTCACTGACTGGCTGATTGATGCTCAAAGCAGTGCCCAAGTCTTAGGAGCTGGAAAGCTGACAACAATGTAACTTTTGGAAAATCAACTATCCACACACACACACGCACACACACGCACACACACACACACAAGTACATCTAGATGTAGAGCTGCCAGCCGCATGACGCGCAAATTGTGTTCAATTTGTTGTGTTCCGTTGTTTGCTCGTGATTAAATTGAACGTCTACGAATCGGTTTCTTATCAGAGCCTCAGGTGCCTCATCAGGTGCCAGGTGGCGGGTGCCGGGTGCCGGGTGCCGGGTGCCGGGTGCCGGGTGCCGGGTGCCGGGTGTCAGGTGCCAGAGTGCCAATTGAATATGAAGTACAAGAATTGTGTTTCGCCGCATTGGGACCTATTTATAGACCGGGGCCTTAGATAGCGCACAGAATGGGCCCAATATCCGGGCGCGGGTTGGAAGACAACTCTTCACAAGGCCAAAGAATTTCGCTAATGTGGATAATGAGGCTGTGAGGCTGTGAGGCAAAGTTGCCAGCAGCCCGCATCCAGTTTCGCTTTCGCTCATTTATATGTCCGACAGCATGAGCTGGGATGCCTTCGAGGCTGGCATCGATAATTATGGCGAGCTACACGACAACTGCCCAAAAACGGACGGCCGGAGACGGGGCCAGACTGATCAGATTCTTGAATGTTGTAGCGCATACCCTGTACATTCTGTGCGGCCCAACGTTGGGTATGCACACTATTTGTGCTCGCATGTAACACATTGAACAAAAATCAGTTGTGCTTATACCCATTCAAATTTTTGCCCTGGGGCCATATTTGAAAACGATCGGACTCTAAGCTCCGAAGTTAACCCAAGATTAGATAAGTTGAGTTAGATATTAAGGTTAGCTCATAGAAAGTTTGATTTACTTCTCAAAACGATCGGACTCTAAGCTCCGAAGCTTTTCAAGATATATACTAGATGTCTAATATATAATTGAGGCAAGTCCATAAGCAGTTTTATATCCTTTTGCCCTGAGCCCATACCAAAAAGCAAAAAAAAAAAGATCGGACTTCAAGCTCCGAAGTTTTTTAAGCAAAGCTCAAAGGAAGTAGATATCTAAAAAAGATTTAGGGTCAAGCTCATAAGAAGTTGTACTTTGTATTTAAAAAAAGATCGGATCTTAAGCTCCGATGTTGATCAGACAAAGTAGATATCCATATTTCACATGAGATCGGACTCCAAGCACCGAGCTTTATCTAATTAACATATCTATCGAGTTTCGCCAGGGCATCTTCTGGTCGCGCATACCCGCCCCGAGCACTTTTGCTTCTTTTTTTTTGGGATTGTTTTTTGCATATTTTTTTTGTTGTTTTTGCGTCTCGCAATGCTTGACTGGGAAGTTCTGGTCGAGCGGGTTTCCAAGCCGCAATTGGACTTTAAATTCGTTTTAAGATGAGGTGGTCGATGAGGGTGGGGGGGGGGGGGGGGGGGGGGCTGAGGCAGAGACCGCAAGCTGTGCGTATTTTCATATCTCAAGCAAAGCAGGGAGCTTGTTTGAAATGGACTTTGCGCTCCATACAAGCGCCCCCTTCGCGGCACGCCTCTGCTTTTGACGACGTCAGCGTCTGAAGTTCATCAAAACGTCGGAAATGGGCAAGGGGCGTGGGGGGGGGGGGGGGTGCGCTCAGTTGGCAACGCAGACGACGCAGATTTCTTATCAGCGCCTCATAAACTACAACAAAAAAATGCTCACACACACAAACACATGCATATAAAGTCAGAGAGTGAGAGAGGGAGAGCGAGAGAGCGAGAGAGCGAGAGCAAGTGCAGCAGCGATAAGGCATCGCGATGAGGCTGAACCAGTGCGATGGGCGTTAAGCGCAACGGAAGAGGGCGTGGCCGGGCGCAACGCAATCAACTGTCGACAGCGACGCGTCGTCTCAAGTGCCAAAGTACAGCAAGTGGCGTGATTATTATAATTCTCTTTATTGTTATTATGCCCACACAGACGCACACATGCGCCGTTATGCATGTGTGTGTGTGTGCATGTGATCTGGTTTTTTGGTGTTGTAATTGGCTGCAGTCCAGCGGATAAGTGAGAGACGTCGCGGGATGCGCACAATCTGATTTAGCGGCTGCAACAACCCAGCTCGGCTCACAACCAAGCACATCGCTCTCAAACCTTGCACAAGTGATTAAATGTAGCCAATGTAGCATTGACCACGATCGTGCGGTTGGCGTCCAAGCTGTACTCAACATTTGCCCATACCGCCCTCTATTGGACTTAGTCGGCACAATCTGAAACCAAACGTGCGTTCGCAACATCTCATCAATATAGTTGGCCACATTTTAGCAATTGTTGCCAATCGATTTGTATAAATACCGTTTTCAGCGCTCGCGAGGCTTGCCACTGGGTGGCGTTATGCTTAAGCCAACTGCCTGCCGAACAAAGCAGTGCGAGTTCAAAGCCAGCGCAAGACATGTCTTTTTTTTTTATATTGAAAGTAGTTGAAAATCAATGTTTGCCTTAACCAAACGTGACGAGTTTGTAGCTCGATATCTCGTCACATTTCCAATATATCAATAAGAATCGATATCGATAAACGGCTCCGTTTCGAAGCAATCGATAAGAATCGATATCGAATTTTGATATTTTGAGCATATCTCCGCGATTTTATATTCTCTCTCGTAAAGCATATATAAATCAAGTACATATCTTAGTTAAAGCTGAAGCTTCTCTGAAAAAGATGTATTTTTTTATATCTTTAAAAAAAAGGAAGCATTTGCCTTTGTTGTCGCTTTTAATAAACGATATTTTGTTTTATTTTCGATTAAAATTACACACTTATATTGCAGCTATTCCGCACAGAACTATTCACATATTTCGTATAACACAATAGAATCAAGAAACCAAGTTCTTTTTCTTTTCAATAACATATTTAAAACTTATATTTATATAAATTTGCTGTAAATTAAAAAAAAAACCAAGTTACATTTGATAAATTATTGCGTAAACTTTGCTTATTTTCTGCACATTCTTTAATAAATTAATTTTGCAATTTACATTTCTCGAAATTTGTCAGAAACCAAAAAAATGTTTCAATATAGAATTTTTTCTCTGCAAAAGGAAACCTTCGAGAATTGCCTCTCTATTCGATTCTCAAAACACGTTACTTTGTCGCTTTATCTCGCTTTTTGTTTCTCACATTATTCGAATTGATTTATTGAAAAGCGTTTTCTTAGACTTAGAATAGATATATATATATAGGTTATTTAACTATGTTTAGAATTCGCTTTAAGAACTTAGCACATTATCGCAGGTGGATCAATATGTAGAACCAACAACTAAATACAGTCGAGTTACGGCTAGTACAGGTATGTAAATATATATATATATATATAAGTTGTGTAAATATGTTAAATATGGTGGCTTATTTATGTTATGTTTTTGTTTTCTTAATTTATTAAGATTATGTTTTAATAGAAATAATCATATATTTGATGTTTAATATTGTTGTATATCGAAGAATAGCAGCTGTCAGTTGTTCTTCTTCTTGTTGTCAGTTGTTGTTGTTGTTGTTGTTTATTTAGGCCCGAATATAGCTGGCTATTAGCTTGGTTGTGTTTTGTGTTCGTTTTCTTCTTGAACGTTGGCTTTTCCTTGCTTTTACTTTTATCACAGACGCCCTTCTCTTCGCACGCAGCCCACAAACGTGTGTGTGTGTGTGTGTGTGTGTGTTTTGGTGGCTTTATTTTAGGCCTAGTTTAACACTTGGCTCTAAGCGCACCCGTTTAACAATTGTTGTTGTTGTTGCATTTGGCTATTAGCTAGGCTTAATTAGTTAAGGATTTGTGCCAAATGTTGTTGTTGTCAATGTTGTCAATGTTGTTGTTGTTGTTGTTGTGGCTCGTGGGTTTGTTGGGCTTTAGCTAGTTAATGCATCAACATTTGCGCTTCCAACGCATGAGCCCCAAGCAGACGTCGTCTTCCACTCACTCTCTCTCTCTCTCTCTCTCTCTCGCTCGCTCGCCTATTGCTGGCTCGCTCTAAGGCTTGGCCGTTTGGGCCAGGCCAGCAGCAGTCGCTGCCAGGCTGTTGTTGTTGCTGCTGCTGCTGCTGTTGCCGGCGGTGTTGCTGCTGTTGGTGCTGCTGCTGCCGCCGTTGTTGGCATCGACCGCGGGCTGCTTGCCATTGAGCAGCTGCGTAAAGTATTCCCCGAAGACGGCATGATTGTAGCCAACAAGACGTCGGAACGAGGCTATGAAGGCGACCAGCTCCTCCTCAAAGTCCGCAAAGCCGGCGGGCGGCGGCGGTATGTTGCCGTTCGAGCGCAGCGCGACGCGCACAAATCCATCCAATCGGTTGGCTAAAAGGCGAAAGCCAGTTGGAGTTAACATATACATAAACATCTCATCTTCGACCAGGCCGAAAATTGTATATGAAGAAAAGTCGCTGGTTCAGTTCAGGTTTTGAAACAGCGCCCTACCATGAGGTTCGACTCGTTTACACATTCTTGAACCAAGTTTTTGGTTTTGACTTTCGTTTTTCCCTATATGTTCAACATTTTTGAGTAGCTAACTTTCATTCGCTTCGGTTGAAGGTTCGAACCAGCGCCCCGCCTACAACTTCAGTTCAAAAATACTTTTTTTGAACTACTTTGAATCATGTATGGGCTTTTCCTACCATATGATCCCAACTGAAATGAAAAGTTGTACTGAAAAAGTATTGCAAAGTCCCAAATACTTTCATTGGGCTGGAAGAGAGTGGGAGAGTGTAGCTCGCATGGAAACAGACGGACAGATGGGCGTGGCTATATCGACTCCGCATCTATATAGTTTACGGACTCAATATCATCTGCTAACCCCCCCGGCTGGCTAGGGGGCATAATGAGAAGTTGTCTTTTACCCATGAGCGTGCGCACGGGCGACGTCTTGTTGGCCAGTTGCTGGACTTGGCTCTGGATCTGCGCCTGCTGCGGCTCGCTGAGCGGAGGCAGCTGCTCGTTCTCCAGCGCTTTGTTGATGAAGGCGCGTATCTGCTCGTAGCAGCCGTCGAGGGCGGCGCTCAGTTGGCTGTAAGGGCGAGAGAAGAAGAGGCCTGCGTGAAGGAGACAGCAACTGCAGGCACATTTGGGCTTGGTACTCACTCCTCGCGCTTCACGTCCTGTACGAGGATGTCCAGCTGCTGGGCCAGCTTGACGCGATTTTCGCGTCGCTGCGATATGACCGGCACGCCCTGCGCTATCGAGATGAGCGAGGCGCACAGAATAAGACGCTGGCCGCGCCAGCTGAGTCCGCCGAAGCGTTCCTTATCGATGCTCAACAGCTCCGGAAACTCCTTGTCCGCCGGATAGTTGAGCAGCTGCCTGAACGCATTGAAGATGATGTCATCATTGCTGCTGCAGCCGGCCCGATGTCGCAGCAGCCAATCCTCAGTGGCCGGAAAGCCAACTGTAAACAAGAAATCAATTATATTTCTTTGAACTGCCGAAGCGTAAAATACAGGAAGATCTAAATGATTGATTGACTGATTGACTGACTGACTGATGTCTGTTTCAACAGCTGATTGACTCCTTTTTATGTGCCCCGACTGACTGATTGACTTATTTCCTGACTGCTTGACAGATTAACTGACTGTCTGATTGATTGAGTGATTGACTAATATTTATGTGTCTTGACTAACTGATTGATTGTCTGATTGATTGAGTGATTGACTAATATTTATGTGTCTTGACTAACTGATTGATTGACTGATTGGCTCATTTTCATGTGTCCCGACTGACTGATTGACTCATTTATATGGATCCTGACGGCTTGACAGACTAACTGATTGAATAACTGACTGCCGTAACTGATTGACGAGTGATTGACTCCTTTTTGTGTGTGACTTGACTGTTTGTCTACTGATTGATTGATCGACTGACTCAGTTTTATGTGTCTTGACTAAGTGATTGACTTTCTTTTGTGGATTTTGACTGCTTGACAGTCTGATTCAACAACTGACTGACTGATTGACGGAGTGATTGACTTATTTGAGTGTATCCTGACTGATTGACAGACTAACTGATTGACTCAAGCTTGTGTGTCTTAACAGCTGACTGTCTCTCTCTCTCCCTCTACCTCTTTTTCTCTCTATATTCATTTTTCTCTATCTCCCTCTCTGCCTAACTATCCCTCTCTTTCCCTCTATCTCTTCCTTTCTCTCTCTCTCGCTCTCCCTCTCTATCCACAGGGCATACGCACCATTTCCATGAAACTCGCGCAAATATGTGCTAAACTTTCGCTTCTCATACTCCACAGAGTTGGCCGCAATATCGTTGCGCGCCGCGGACACCATAAAATTGGCCATGTCCAGCTTCATCAGGGACATGGTCTCCAGGATGCCCCGGAATGTATCGATAACATCATCGATTTCGCGCAGCTTGGCCACCGTCTCATCGCGTGCCGGCGCGCACATGCTCGCCAGCAGCTGGATGACAAAATTGGCGTATGATCGAAAGTCCAGGGTGCCCTGCTCCGCCTGCTGGCGGATTAGAGCCTCGTCCAGGGTAGCATTGATGCGGCTCAGGGCATTCGCATTGTTCGGCGAGAGCAGCTGCGGAAAATCCTCCTTGATCTCGCCCAGCAGCCGTATGGCCTGATCATAGGAGGGCGGATCACGTTCCAGTTGCTCGCGCAGCAAGTTCCAAAAGGCCTTGTGCACCATGGCCTTGATGCGACCCTCCAGGCTGTCAGGTTCAGGTTCGAGAAGCATGAGTAAATGCGGAACAGAGAGAGAGAGAGAGAGTTGTATGACTCACCTGTCTAGGGGCGGCTCGTATGGCTGCAGCTTGAACTCCGGATTGAGCGCTATCTCATGCGCCAGCTCCATGTTCTTGAGATCCTTTAGCATGCCGGCCACCTCGTCCATGGTGACCACCTTTGGTGGACTGCCATCGAGGCTGGGCAGCACAAAGCGCATTGTGCTGTCCGTGGAGCTCTCGCTGTCCGTGCGCATTGGCACATCCGTGTTCCGAATGGGCTGCTCCTGCTGCTGCTGCTGTTTGTTGTCCTCCTTGGCGTCCATTTTAGACTGGAAATTTGAGCGCTTCCAATTGGAATTGTGCTGATTGCAGTACTTTGATCTTGCTCGTTGAGTTGTTTGTTGTCGTGCAACTGGTTTTCTGCAAATATGGAAATGTAAGCGTGTTTTTCCTTATTCGTTGCAATTGCGTATTTGCTTCCGCGAGCAAAAGGAAGCACAAAGAGCTTGCCAAAGCGGGCAGAGCTCAGCTTTGTTTCAGGGTCAGCTGCGTCCAAGGCTGACGAAATGCGACGTTCAAAATGAATGCAAGCCAATAACCGTTAAATGTGTGCGAGTATGTGTGCGTGTGCGAGTGCGAGTGAGAGACAACAAAGAAGCAGCAAAAACAGTTACATAGCAAGCAAGCAACTTACACACACACACGCACGCACACGCACGCACAGCAAAGGGGAGTAAAGCTGCAAAGAAAAATCTCTAGCCCAGATAAAACGAAATTAATACATCAGCATGTACACATATATATGTATATAAAAATGTCTTGTAATTTAAATTCGTGGCGGCTGACACAGTTTCCAAAATTAACGCGGAAAAGCGTAGAACATTGCACAACGGCTAACGCGCAGCGAAGTGGCGACATAAACAAAGAGGCGCTAATAAAGCAGCCTATGAAAACAGAAACGCAGAGAATTCGTTTATTGCGCAGCAGCTGTGTGTGCGTGTGCGTGTGTGTGTGTCTGTCTATATGCATACATATACATGTATATGCGGAGAGTATTGTGAAATGGACACAAGGACGTAGCGATTGGGCGGCTGTGCATAGGGATGGGACAATAATTGTAACAATTCGAAAATTCACACAGAATGCGAACAACAACAACAAACCAATTAGACTTACCACCGTTAGGAACTGAATTCTTCAAAATTTGTATTGCTTGAATAGAACTTGCACGTCTAATTTAATATTGTTATACGAATTTTGTTTTTTTTTTTTTAAAACACGTTTTCCACAATTTTAAAGCATTTTATTTTAACCGTACGCTTGTCGCGCTTACGACGTCCAAATTGTAATGTGAGTAATAATGTTATGATTGTACAAATTTCAAATTGAACTAACGCAGGCCACCTTTGTTTGTTGTGCTTGCTCTGTTGTGTTGTTATTGTTGTTGTTGTTGTTGCTTGCTTGCAGATGTTCCACAACATTCGAGAATAAGGCGCATATGCAGCTCACTGCAAGCAAAATTGTTCAGCTTTCCAGGCGTAAAAGTCGTTGCTATGCGCAATTTAATTATTAATTATTAAATTCTTTTAAACAGCTGTTCGTTAACTGACTGCGACGCACACAAAATAGTTATGGCTTTTTCGAACAAATGCTTAAGTTTTGTATGTTGGCTTGCTTTGTTCGCTGTCTCTGGTTAGCAGTATATCAGGCTGACGTGCGCGGCGTTGCCATATCGCCAAAGGCAAGACATAAACAGTCTGGCAGCAGCTAAGCGCATTGTTCGACAGTGTGGCAGCACCATTAACTAAACATCAGACACCAGACAGACACAATAGTATAGAAGAATTTTAGGTTTTTTTTCAGGCTAATGTTAATATTGTTAAAGAAAACGAACAGCTGCGGTAACAAAGAGACACACACAAACATCAGACACACAAGCACACACACACACACACACTAATACAAAGCAAAACTATAATTTGCCAAGTGTTGTGTGCTTGTTGTTAATGCCAATCGATGTTGTAGTACCAGTACCTGTGTGTGTGTGTGTGCAACGCCCGCCTCCCCCGTTCCCATAGCCCAGGGCACAACCCACCCGCACAACATGGAAAGTGAGAAGATTTTGATGGCCGCCGGTGTTACGGTCGCCGCCGTTGTCGGTGCATTTGTCTTCTGGGGACCATCGGGTAAGTGCATCCAAAACATACAGTTGTGCAACACTGGCCACTCACACTGACACTCACACACTCACACACACGCAGGTTCCCGCTTGCGTCAGCGTCGCGGCCAAATCGCCGGACTCCACAATTTTGGACGCACCTGTTTCCTGAACACACTGCTGCAGGCGCTGGCTGCCTGTCCGCAGTTTATTGCCTGGCTGCAGCTGTACAATGGCGCCACGCCGGATCGGAAGAGCCTGATTAGCTCGATGCTGAACACCTTGGAGGTGGTGAATGGCACGCATGCGACGCTGCGCGGTGATCCCCATTCGCCGGGCGCTGTGCTGCGCGCCTTGAACACATTGGGCTGGGTCATACCGCAGGAGGAGCACGATGCACACGAGCTATTCCATGTGCTGCTCTCGTCGTTGGAGGAGGAGGCAACACGGCCGCAACAAGTGGGCTGCCTGTCGGACGCACTGCTGCCCGTTGCCGCTGGCATCAATCCGAACAACGGCAACGGCAATGACACCGGAGATGGTTTTGGTGCTGCGTCAGCGGCAGCTGCTGCTTATCGCACGTGCAACATGGCCGGTGTCCAGCAGCGCATTGGTGATCAGCCGAATCGGCCATCCAGTGCCATGCTCTCGGATTTTTTGAATATGGAATACGATGAGTCGACCAGCCTGCAGCGTCTGGTGCGCTCCGAGGCGCATACGCCCGACTCGCCGGCCTCGGTGTGCGAACGCGAAACGGCCGAGATTCTGACGCCGTCTGCTGGCGGTGCCTCGTATCTGGCCCATTCGCCGTTTAGCTATCAATCGGCCATGGAGTTTATGGAGCCGCAAACGCAGCCCCTGCCCGCTTCACCCGTACTGGGCGGCGAGCGCTTGTCGCGTCCGCGCCAGACCCAGGCCCAGACCCAGCAGCTGCAGCAGCAGCAGGAGAATCACAGCGAGCGCCTCAATCGACGCGTGTCCAGCTCATGCCGCTCGCTGGAGCGTCTCAATCGCGGACCCGGACGCGTCTCCATCTGGTCGAGCATGATGCCCAGCCAGGTGGCGCATCCGTTTCAAGGCGCCATGGGCGCCCAAATTGTTTGCAATGGCTGCGGCTCCAAGTCCGCCGTGCGCTACGACAAATTCGACAGCGTCACCTTAAATTTGCCCGCACAACGGCGCTCCGGCCTGAGCCTGGGCCATTTGCTGAGCGAGTATATCACCTCCGAGGATCTGAGCGATGTCAAGTGCGATTCGTGCAATGAGACGACCATGCACACCAAATCCGTGACCTTTGCCAAGCTGCCGGCCTGTCTCTGCATACACATTGCGCGCACCGTTTGGCTGCCCACCGGGCAGGTGTGCAAGCGTCAGGACTATGTCCACTTCCCGGAGAGCCTCTCCATGGCGCCCTACAGCTTTGTCCAGCCCCATCTGAACAGTCAGGTGAGTGTGCGAACAGTGTTTGTCGATATTTTGTGCCCTGAAACCAGAGAACCGGCAATAGGAGGCAGCTCCGAGTTCGTATAATATCTGTGTAGCTATATAGATGGATCGAAATCAATAGTCAATCCTTCCATATGCATTAAGGCATCCCTCTCGGTAGCTACAAAATCTAGAGACAATATTTTCCTATGCCATGCGTAGAACGGGCTTATCATATTATATATAGATGCCTTTCAATAATATCGATAAGAAAAACTATTTGAAGACACCAAATTTGGTACTTGAATGGTTCTTCATGATAACGGATGAATAATATCTATATCTACTTGTAAACTCCTAAAATGTTCAAAAAGATCGGACTATAAGAGCCGAAGTTATACAAGTTTGCATTTCCGAAAGGGAAAAAGGCATAATTGTACGTCAGCTTGTTGCTGGGTTCATCCTGGTGCATCCTAGCTGAGCAGTAGTTAAATAGTTTTGTATTCCATATTCAAACTCCAAAAAGTATTCAAAAAGTTCGGAGTATAAGAGCCGAAGTTATACAAGTTTGCATTTCGCAAAAGGGACAATTGGTACGACAGCTTGTCGCTGGGTTCAGGGTACATCCTCGCCGAGCACTTCCATGTTAACAATTGTGATTCCTTCGCAGGCGGGCACTCCTTGGGGCTCGACCATGTCGCTGTACTCGACCAGCCTGCCGATGAACAACGGCGGCGGCGCCGGCGGCGAGGGTTTCGGTGCAATGTTTCCCAAAAATCTTTACCGCCTGCTGGCGGTTGTGGTGCATTCGGGTGAGGCGAACAGCGGACATTTTGTTACCTATCGACGTGGTTCGCTGCGCAATGCGCATCGGTGAGTGCTGGCCGGAGCGAGTAGAGGATGATCATTTTTGCTAATCGAATTTCCAATTTTGCAGATGGTTTTACACGTCGGACACGATTGTGCGGGAGGTGTCCATTGATGAGGTGCTCAGCGTGCCCGCCTATCTGCTCTTCTATGATCGCGGCCAGCAGCGACAGCTCCAAATGCGCTGAGCATACACAATCCCCGCTCCCCGCTCCCAGCTCCCATCCCCCCCTGTAGAACCAGCTGGTGGTGTAGTTGTTATGTCGGCCTAGTCATTTTTTTTTTTTTTTGTTCTTGCTCTCAACGTTGTGTTGGAAACTCAGATTATTATATGATATAATAATTAAAACGGTGGCCATAGAATCCTATTCCAACAAAAAAACAAAAAACAAAAACAAACAAAACAAAAAGGAAAGCCTTTTAAGGAACTGCAAAGAAAACGGTCTCAGCAAGCACCAAAAAACACACACACTCACACACACACACACACACACACCTGCGTTAATTTAAGGGCAGGCCTTATATGCATACAATAGCTACAACTAATCATACACACACACATATATATATATAGAATTTTGTTACATCAATGCATTTAAAAATTTTTAAATTGAATTTGAAATTCACGTCATGTGCTTTTTAGATGTCTGTATTTAGCGATATAGATTCAAAAAAGCCAAAAAAAAAAAAAAAAAAATGTTGCTAGGGGTATTACCGTAAGCATGAATCGATAATAAGTGTACGGTTTTTTTTTACATTTGTTCCAATCTGTTATATAGATGTACTTCCCGCTCCTAATTGTTTAGGGGTCCGAATTCGTGGATCGATCGTTGCGTTATAATCGATCGCTATTTGCATTTATCGCTTATCGTGTTGCAAACAGAATACCCTTGCTCCCAATGACAACTATGTACATGATATATCATTAACTAACAATCGCCCAAAACAATAATTATCTACGTTAAACGCTATATAAATAAAGTTCGGATAGATGTTTAAATATAATCATATATTATTTAATTATTTTCTATAAAAAAAAATGATTTTTGTAAGCTTTTTATAAAAAATTACATTAAGTTAGCGTATTTAAAATTGTTTTCAAAATTTAGGCCGTTATTTAAATGCTTTACATGGTTGCACAGCAAGTTTCATAGCAAACAGCAATTTAAGGCAATCACGCGAAGAAAAACAAAAATATGTACACACCATAAAAAACTGTTAGAGAGCCGATCATGTCTGGCATTTATGTATGTCTACTTATTAAGCGACATTTATTTCAGATTTAGCGATTGCAAAGGGCTTTTTAATGCTCTTCTTTTGTGTATACCTAAACATTTGCAAAAAGACTTTGACCATTTGCTTCATGGGAAATTTCACAAAGCACACTTTAAGCGCCCCTTCCATATAAATAACCGCGAATACAATTTAAATTGTACAGTGCCATTTTGAGTTTAACATTATGTTAGTTAACTGCAAATGTATATAGTTGTATGTATATTTCATTGCACACTTTTAGCTAGTGTGTACACACTGGAGCTCGCCATATGCCATCGCGTGCCTGCTCGCACTTGTGTGTGTGTGTGTGTGTAAGATTCGAAATTCAAAAAGCAAGCATCGGCACAAGCAATGTGTGTATAGAACTATGTCAAGCAATAACAGTACAAATAGAAAGCAATATAATGATAGAAAAATACAGCACACATCGCGCATTACGCCCAAAATAAGAGAATATCTGGCTGAGATGGCCAACGAGCGGGAATTGGAGCTGCAACGCTTCATGGCATTATCATCGACATCACCCGCCAGCAGCAGCATCAGCGTCGGCGCGCACAGTAGCAGCGGCGGCGGCGGCGGCGCCTGCGCCGGCAGCGGCAGCGGCAGCATGGGGGTTGCAACAGCTGCCTGCGCAGCTGCCATGGCCTGCATTAGAAAGCAAAAGAAACGCGCGATGCCGGCGGCTGAGCACGTTAAGCAGATACCCATTGTCATGGAGACGGGACGCACTGCGTCCGCGTCTGTTGAGGATCTGCGCACGCCCACCAAAGGCACCCAAACGCCGACGCCGCAGATGCAGACGCGCAAAACCCAAACACCGGAATCGGCGCTCAAATCGCACAAACGCCTCGAATGGGATCCCGCCGCCGATGTGGGCTATCGCTGTCAGCGCGCCGCCTCCGCCAGTAACATAAGCACGCTGGAACGCTCCGTGCTGGAGGCGGCCATGCAGCCGGCCGCGCAACGTGCAACGGTCCAGCGCTCCAATCACTCTGAATCCGATTTGAATCGTTTGCAGGCGGCGGAGCAGCTGCCGCAGCCGGCGCCGGCGCCGCCGCTGGCGTCCAGCACCTTTGTCAACTCCAGCCGCAGGTCCAGCCAGCCCACGCCGACGCCGACGCCGGTGCCCAGCCAGAGTTCACGTCGCGAATCCTGCGCCACGTCCGCGGTGAGCAGCTTCGATTATCATCACAATTCGCGGCCATCCACCGGGCAGAGCAACAGCAATAGCCACAGCAGCAGCGGGAGCTGCAATCGGCAGGCGCTCAGCGCCGAGGAGCTGCTGCGTCATGTGGAGCAGCAGCGTCAGGAGCGAGCGTATACCGCACAGCTGGAGCAGGTGCTCTGCAATCGTCGCCACATGACGCGCGCCCAAAACAAGGAGAATCAACAGCCGCCGTCTCAACCGCAGCCCAGCCCTGCCGTCTCCTCGTCGAGCGTCTCGTCCAGCCCGCCGGTTAAATGCGATCTGGATCTGGGCATCGATTTGCTGTGCTCGCTGGTCAGCAAGCGCAGCCTCAGCCATCTACAGAAAAAGCAGCTTATACGCGACATTGCCAAGCGACTCGCCTGCCTCGATCTGGCCGCCAGCAGCAGCAGCTGCAACAGTCGCGCCGACTCCAGCCGCAGCTCCAGGCGCAGCAAGGCCGTTAGCCAGCCCAGGGAGCAGCCGTTGCCTGCTGCAAATGACAAGCTCAAGGGTGAGTGCGGTCTGTAGCTAAAGGAGGCATCTCCGAGTACCGTGTCCAGCCAGCGCAGACATTAATGTACATCTTTTCTCCTTGCAGAGCCGTCGAGACACAGTCTGCCCTTGCGCAAGGACACGGCGACCAATACGAGCAAAAGATGCCTCATACTCTCGCCGGAGCTGCTGACGCCGCCTGCTGCTCCTGCTGCGTCGCCTCCTGCTCCTGCTGCGCCGCCTGCCGTGCCCGTGCCCGCGCCTAGAACTCGCGTGGGCACGCCCACGCAATCTCCGCTGCCGTGCAGCTATGCCTCGACCAGCAGCGGTGCCTCCAACGAGCTGGTCACACAGAAAACCAATCAACAGACTAAGCCAGCCACAACAGACGAGCAGGCAGCCATACAGGAGTGGCTGAATCCGATGACGCAGAGCGAGATTGACTACGAGGAGAAACAGCGGATGCAGCGCGGCCAGCTGGATGAGGAGCGGCGCACACAGCTGGACTGGATTGAGACGGAGATAAGCCGCCTGCGCACGCTGCAGAATCTACTGAGCAGCGCCGCCAAGGGCGTCATGCTGGCCCCGTCACCCGATAAGGGTGTGCGCATACCCATCCAGCTAATGGACGCCATTGCGGATGCAGTGCCGCCGCCAGCAGAGGGCAGCGCACTGTCGCCGGCTGCAGTTGTGCGGCGTCCGGCGCCGCCAGCGCCAACAGCAGTACCTCTTCCTCCTCCTCCTCCTCCTCCACCACCACCGCCTCCTGCTCCTCCACTGCCAGCTGCACCGCCTGCCAGCAGGCTGCTGCCGCGCAGCAAAATGGCGACGCCGGCGCCAAGCCACTCGGGCAGCAGCGAGAGCGTCTGCTCCTTTGTCCAGCAGCGACAGCGCCAGTTCATGGCCCACTATCAGAACCAGCAGCAGCAGCGTCTGGAGCAGCAGCAGCAGCTGCTCCTGCTGCAGCAGCATCAACAGCAGCAGCAACAGCAGCTCATCCAGCGCCAGCATCAGCAGCAGCAACAGCTGCAGCATCCGTTGCATGCCACATATCACATGGTAAGCTCTCAAGTCATGATGAACTCAACAAATCTATGCCATTGCAAGCAGGTAGACTTTCCGATTCATATCAGGCGGAAGACATGCTCTTAACTTATGAATGGAATACTCTTCGATCCATAACGAAAGGTCGCTGTCCGAGTCGATCTACCCTGGTCCGTCTGTCTGCGTGAAGAGAGAGTCTTAAAATGTATAATAAGTATATATTGGCTTATTCATAACGATCTTCGATTTCCTTTCGTTATCTCACACGATTTGTAGCAGTATCGATAAATATCGAATAGGAATACTCGCCGATCCATAACAAAACGAATATCCGAGTCAATCTAGCCTTGTTCGTCTTTGAAGAGAGACACTTGAAATATATAAAGTATATATATTCTCGTATATCCTACGCACAGCATTTGTATAGTATCGATAAATATCGATTTTCAGGCATGGTCTTTTAAGCATAACTCGGAATCTATACAAGCTTCACTTTTTGGCAACTAGAGCTAAACGAAAACATGAAACTTAAAGAAAATGTAAATGAGTTTGAAAGAAAGAATTCTTTAAGCTTGTGTTTAATCAAAGGAGGGAGGCTTAGTTAAGAAGTACGAGAGAGTTCTCTTTCTCTTTGTTTTTACCATATCCTGAAAAAATTGGATGCTCATGGGCTCATCATCAAAATAATTCTATATTCATATTGCACAGCCCTAACTTGAACTCCATCTCTCTCTCTCTCTTTCTCTCTTTCCATCTCGCTCTAGCAGCGCCCATGTCAGCAGCATCAGGAACAGCAACCACAACAGCAACAACAACAACAACAATATATGCAAATGCAGTACGCACAGACGACGGGCAATGTGTACGGCTGCGTAGATGAAGGCGCCGTCTATTACCAGGTCGTGAATTCCCACGGCGCGCCCTGCTACGTGCAGCATGCCGTCAAGGCGGCAACAGTTGCAACAAAAACAACGACAACAACTGCAGCAGCAGCAGCAGCGGGAGCAGCGGCAACAACAACAACAACAACTGGCTCACAGAACAGCTGCAGGGCGACGAGCTCCACGTCGTCCATGCTGTGCATCAGCTCGGAGATGTCCATACCCATGAGCATGGTGAATGCCTGCGAGGCGACGACAACGACAACAACAACAACGCATCAATACGACGATGTGGCATGCCACCAGCAGCTGCAGCTGTGCCATCGTCGCCGCCTTCACACGCAGCGCAGCACCAGCTCCTCTGGCGCACAACGGCAACAGGAGCAAAAGCAGCGCCAGCAAATGCTGCAGGTGCGACCGCGTGGCATTGCGTATGTCATACAGTTTAGCGCCAATGGCGATGAGAGTGAAATTCTGCCGGAGTCGCTGTCGCTGCAGGATCATCTTCAGCGCGCCCGTCCGCTGTTCTGTGCCCAGTCCAAGCAGCGCAAGGCGATCCTCAATCAAATGCAGCTGCTGCGCAATGCGCGACGACGCGAACTCGATCAGCTGATCGAGAACAGCAGCCTGGAGACACTGGACAGACGGCTGGAACAGCTGCCACCACCGGTTACCTGTAAGTACCTCAGCAAAGGCTGCTGCTGCACTGCGTCCACTTTATAGGAGCATCTAAAAGGCCAAGCTGCGAAAGACAATTCTTTCTATTTGCGTACAACATGCTTTGTCACGAAATGCTTCGCTTGGCTGCAGACATGTCCGCGTCCATAAGCTATATATATTCCCGATCAGCATCGATTAGCGGAGTCTATATAGCCAAGATCTTCTGTTTGTCTTTTAACTACTGTTCGCCTTTCAGGCAGAGCATATGTCCAATTGGCCGGCTTAGACCTTGACATACCCTCACTCAAATCTAATCTATATATATATATATATATTTATATATATATTTGTTAAATCAAAGATCTCATATGTATCCCATCTATTGACAGCACGCGTGCGCATCTTCTCTACGCGGGAGATGAAGGCCCTGACCAGCAAACGCTGCGAGTTTCTGCCCGAGGTGCTGGCCGCACAAAGTCGCGAGCGCGAGGAGCGTCGTCGTCGCAGCAATCGCATCATGCGCGACGTTTTCAATCGGGTATGTCCATCCGGCACTGTCATTCCCATATAGATAAATCTCTTAACTAAACGGGCTTTTCACTTTTCTAGCGTCTGCAGCGTCGCGTGCGCCGTGGCAAGCTCTCCCTCAACCACAGTCGCACCGTCATCTAGTGGAGCGAGGCGTCGCAGCAGCTCAACAAGTGCCACTTTAACACATTCTATATATATATATATATCACAAGCATGGATCGAATAATAACTGGTTTTATGCATGCCATTGTAGGCTCCAACTGAAATCTATTTTCTAGCTTGATTTATCTCCATAAACATCTATATTTTTTTTTTTGGTGTTTTGTCAACTTATCTATTTACTAGCATTTTACACTGTTTGACCAATAAATGATTGCATTTGCCATTTTAGAGATCGTTTAAAAGTTAATCATAATTTTAAAGTTCGACGGAAAACAATTTAAAATGCTTTGTTTATAAAACTATAAGAAGTATATTTGAATATGTTGAATATGTATGCAAAGACCTTAGGAAATCTAAATATTGCCTCTAGTTTTAAATTGATTTGTTCATATTTAAGACATATTCCTCTACAGATAATACTTTTTTAAGAGCCAAACTCCAAGTTGAATGTATTCAAACATATTTCGCACACATTTCTATATCAAAAACTGTTTGTATATATGTGTGTATATGTATGTACGTATGTGTGTATATGTATGTACGTATGTGTGTATATGTATGTACGTATGTGTGCATATGTATGTACGTATGTGTGCATATGTATGTACGTATGTGTGCATATGTATGTACGTATGTGTGTATATGTATGTACGTATGTGTGTATATGTATGTACGTATGTGTGTATCTATGTGTGTATCAGTGTATATATTCTTAACTAATGCCCTACTACGCGATTCTCATGAATTCAAGTAAGTCGTATGAAAAGCCTATGGGCTTGACTATAAGTGGCGGTGGCGGCGGCGGAGGAGACGGCTTCAACTATATGGGAGACGGCAGTTGAAGCAAATGAGAAGCCGGATTCAATATTGGAGGAGACGGCAGTTTAACCAAATGAGGAGCCGGATTCAACTTGCAGGAGGCAGTGGCTATGGGCTTTGGCCATTGAAGCAACTGGTACGTATTATGAGCACAATCCCATCCGATTTTCACGAGGTTCGAACTTACCTGCTCAGAGATAGCCAATTTTATGGATCAATCATAAAGTTTCAGATCAGAGCAATAATTCAGCGTATTTGTTTCAAGATGGATTTGCTTTATTAGGCTTCATAACATTTGTGATTAACAATATATTTTGAGTAATTGTTTTTATGTAATTATGTTAAACTCTTTGCAAGCTAAACAACGTTTCTTTCGATTTAATTCTCCTAAAAATCTCTTTGGTGTTCTATTCCGCGACGAATTCTTAAGGCTAACAAGACAAAAGTTGTTGTTTTTTTTTTCAGTTAATAACAATATGACGAGAAAAAAAATGTAAAAAAAAAATTATACTAACAAATAGAATGCATAATATTTATACGCGTAATCGTTTATCGTTGAGATTAGCATAGATTTTAATAATATATATATATATGTATATATCTATATATAGGATTATGTTATTTTTCGTAATACCAGCCGCAATGCCAAATCAGGTCACAGGTCTCACATTTCTGTTTGTTACAGATCGAACGTGCTTTCAGTTATAGCACAGGAAATATTTTTGGGGAAAAGTTTGCACTTTGGTTAGGTTTTAGGTAAGGAACGTTTTGCGGAAAATGGAACGTGGGAAAAAGGGGAAACTGGACTGGACCAACACACACACAATGCAAAGCAGTTAACGCGTTTTCAAAGTCGGTTAATGGGGGGATTATTTTCGAATATATATATTATATATATAGAATATATATATATATGTTAACAACGCGCTCGTATATCGGACATACTCTTTACTTAAACGCTAATAATTGAGATTTACTTGAGTTTCTCTTTCACTTTCTTAACATCTTATTTGCGCGCCACCATGTCCAGGCCGCCCTCCTCCTCCATTTTGGATAGAAACTTGATGGTGCGCTGCGAGGGCTCCGTCTGCCTGGCCATATCGATCAGGCCCAAAAGTTTCTTGATGCCAATGAAGACGCTGTGGATAGAAAAAGAAAAGTTCAGATCATTTCACATTTGGCTCAAGTTTTTTCTAAATTCGAACTCGATCTTCCACTTATGTTTCGCACGCGTGAAAGCGAAACACGTGAAAATGCTATTTTAATGTCGAGTGTTTACAAATTGAGTTGGCCTATAATTTCGTTACCAAGATCCTTCATTTGCCGCCCGGGTGCTTACAAATTGAGTTGGAAACTAATTTAACTAAAATTTCGTTACTGAGTTCCCTCATTTTCCACCCGGAATAGTGGATTTATCGTAACACGCTTTAATGTTGATAAACTTTGGAAAATCTTTGAGCTTAAAGTAGATTGATCGTCTGATAAACCGAAAAACCTTATTCCAAACTTACAGTTTGATAGATTTTTAGCAGATCGGGTTGAATGGGAAACCAAAAAGACTTCCATGCGGAGTTCTTTCATCTATTTCTCACGCTTGGAGCGTAAAGTAGATCGAAAACTTAAAGCTTAATGGATTCTTAGTTTCAGATTCAAACGGATCGGGCAGAATGGGAAACCAAACAGACTTCCAAACTTCAGCCGTGTTTCACGCATTTCTCACGCTTGTCGGTGGATTTATATATATATATTTATAGCTAGGAAATTGGGTCTCTTGGCTTACCGTTTGCCGGCCATCTTCTTGGCCACGGTCTGAAGCTCGCTCTTGGTAAAGATATCCGTGTCCTCGAGCACGGCGATAACATGCTCCGGACTGGACAGATTGGGCACATGCAGCACGGAAGTGAAGGCCGACAGCATTTCCATTTCCTCGAGCACTTCCCTGAAAGAGTTAATAACATTTAGCTGGCCGAGCATGAGGGAATAAAGAGAAACGTTCGCTTACCGTCGGCTCGAGGTGCAGAGTATGAGAAGCTTGCGTCCCTTGGGCGGCTGCTTCTTGAGCAGCACCAGCAATGCCTGCAGCGTAAGATTGGAGTATCTCGGGCCGATGGGTCCATAGTCGAGCAGACGCTCCACATTGTCGACGACAATGCAGCTGAGGGTCGAGCGATAGGCGTCGTCGAAAATCTTGCGTATGTGCAGACACTTGGCGGACTCGGTGTAGCCGACCATGTCCTCCGGCGAGCAGACCTTCACGAACGGAAAGTCCGACATCTTGGCCAGCTTGGCGGCCAGCGCGGTCTTGCCCGAGTTGGGTGCGCCGGCAATCAGTACCGAGACAAGGCCGCTGGACTCGGTGGCCTTCGCCTGCTGCACGTAGAGCATGCCATCCTCGAGGAGACTGGCCACCGGCTGGCCCCAGTTGACGACGCCGCGTGCCAACATATTGTCGAGTATCTCCTGGGCGGTGCCGAAGGCCGGCTTGATGTCGTGCTCCAGCGAGTGCAGGAAATCATCGCGATTCACCTTCAATTTCTCCATGGCCTCCGGATCGACAGTGACCTTCGCGTCGGCCTTGATCAGACGATTCATGGCGCTCGATTGGGCGGCACGCACCAGACCCTCCAGCTCGGCGCCGCTAAAGTTCTTGGTTATCGCCGCCAGCTCCTTGCAGTCGACATCTTCGCTGATCTTCTTGAAGTCACGCATACGCTTCGTGTGTATATTCAGGATTTGGACGCGTCCCTGTTCGTTGGGCAAACTGATCTCCATTTGCACCTCCAGCCGGCCAGGACGCAGCAGCGCCTCATCGATCATATCCCGGCGATTGGTCATGCCAATTACCAGGATATTGTTCAGCTGATCCACACCGTCGATCTTGGTCAGCAGCTGATTGACGACGGTGTCATGGACACCGCTGTTGCCCGCAACGGAGCCGCGCTGCTTGCAAATGGCGTCGATCTCATCGAAGATGATGATGTGCAGCCCGCTGTTGGGGCCCAGACGCTTCTCCTCCTCCTCGGCCTCGGCGAATAGCCGTCGCACATTGGCCTCTGACTCGCCCACGTACTTGTCGAGTATCTGCGGCCCGTTGACGATCTTCGGCTCGCGTGCGTTCAGCATGGTGCCGATCTGGCGTGCCATCAGAGTCTTGCCCGTGCCGGGCGGTCCGTAGAGCAGGATGCCCTTCACATGCTTGCAGCCCAGCTGCTCGACCAGCTCGGGCGGAAAGACGCGCGAGGCGAACGCACGGCGAAAGATCGCATTGAACTCATTGTCCAAGCCGCCGATGCCCATTTTGCCAAAGTCCCAATCCGGATTGATGATCGACTGGCGCACCACCTTGCCCTTCGACTTGCCCTGCAGATTCAGTGAGCTGTTCTCGGCCTTCTCGAACTGCACCGTCGTGTTGCCCAGAATGCGGCCGAAGCGCACATTGCGCGTGGTCGGCTCCTTGCCCTCGGCCAGGGTCTTCGGATCGATGGCCTCCAGCATTTTGACGGCCAGGCCGAGCAGCTTCTTGTCCTTGAAATTGAAGACCAGCGACTGGCCGACAGTCAAAGCCATGCCAGCGAATTGCATGATGAACTCCTTGGCCATCTGATCCGAGTCATACGGCTCCTGCGAGACGCTACAAGGGGGGTGAAGAGGTTTTTCTGTTTTTTAATATGAGAGGCAGTAGGGTTGACTGTCTTTGAAGCTCCCTCAAGGATGACAAGATCACCGGATCTTCTCTTCAGAACCTTCTTCCCAAACCCTGTTCAAGAAATCTTGGCTAACTGCTGTTTATTAATTTCTCAAGAGATTTTGGCAAACTAGTTTGTCTCTAGCTGGAAACAGAACCTTACTTTATTCAATCTAACCTAACCTAACTTAACTTAACCTAACCTAACATAACCTAACTTAACCTAACATAACCTAACTTAACCTAACAGCTTTAAGCTTTTAAATATCTAAATTGATGTTACCTAACCTAACCCTATTTTTACAGGCAAAACTACACACACACACACACATACACAAACACAAAGGGAAAATATGCGCTCCTTTAGGAAAAATCAGTTTTGAGTTTAGGGTTCAATCACTGTGATCCAAGCTAAGCCCACTTTATCTATTGGAATCTTACCCCATGCCCCCTCGGGATCCCAGCCTAACCCGATTGTGGGTAAACTAACTCCACTTTTCTATATATATATTTTTCAGACTAATACTTACGTCTTCTTTTGCAGAAAATCGGTTTCAAAGGAGACATTTGTAATGACATCGGAGTTGGCATCGAATCGATAGGGTCGCACCTCCAGCTCCTGGTTAATGGAGAGCATCGCCCATTTGCGCTGCACCAGAGAGAAGCCCACATAGCCTCTGGGCACCTCCATGGTCTTCTCCAGTGCGAAGATAAAGTGTTGTCCAGCTGCGGGCGAAATGTCCGCATACCTGAAAGGGATTCAAAAATAATAATAATGATGAGGAGCTGGAGCTGAAGTAGTTGCTGCAGTTCGTCCATTTGGCATACTTGACATCGTCGGGAAAATCGCCGACGTTCACAATGGCGCGATTCGTCAAGGACAGCTCGTCCGTGGGACATTTGGTGGCCTTCAAGCGCTGCAATTACCGTTAAATTTGAGTATTTATGTATTGCTTTATTAATATGCGTGGGAGCTCACATAAGACATGGCTGCTGCTGCTTCTTCTTGCCTGATTATGTAGCCTGTCTGTGTGTGTGTGTGAGCTTGTGGAGTGGGGGTTGTTTCTGTTTACAGCTTCAGCCTCAGCCTCAAGCCCAGCTATTATCGATTCGCGGCGATTCGCAATTTCTGCTTTTTTTCGGCGTTTTTATTTTTTGGCTTTGGCTCTGCTGCGCCTATTTGACACTTACGGCAATTTCACAATTTTTTCTAATTGTTAACACTTAACACTTTATGAATTTTGATAAAGTTGCATTTCTTTTGCAGCTGTAGCACCACAATTCACAGCTTGACTTTCATTGATTTCTGCAGAACATCGAAATTTTTCGCTGCGCAGCTTAAAAAATGCGCGCGCGCACAGCGCTGCCAGCGCTGTTAAGGAACTGCAGCAAGTTGGCAGCCCGGCGACGCATATTTGAGCAGCAGCTGTTAAGCTCGTTAGCGTTAACAGCTGTTATTAGTCACTTAGCAGCGCGAGCATGCGGCGTTATTATCAGCAGAGACGTCATACGTTGCGGTTGATTTGCGGGAAAGCGCGCGTGCATTCGTTTCGATTTTGATCGAGAAACGGTTTCTTTTTGGTTTTGCAAAATTCGTGTGTATTTTTTTGTTGTTTGTCCAGTGATTTGATAAGCATTATCAGTGCCGTGTGTTATGAAACAACAACAAAATGAGTTAAATCTTCATTTTTTCTATTATAACACATTTTGTAATTTACACTTCTTTGCGCGGCGACTGGCAAAAAGGTCAAGCGAAGCAGCTGAACAAAACAAAACAAAAAAATTTTAACAACAACAAGTGCAGCATCGTAGAAACAGTAGCAACAACAACAACAACAACTACTTTGTAGGCTACCTGTTGAGCATAGCGCCGAAGTCGCAATCGCAGTCGCAGTCGCGGTCGCAGCCAACGTCGCTGTCGCTAATAGACTGGCTTAAGCTGAAGGTTAAGAGCGATTTGCAAGTGTCCGTTGCATGTCGTTAACAGTTGTATTGTTGTTGTAATTGTTGTTGTAGCCGCGCATCAAGTATAACAGCAACAAAAATGACAGTGCCGTGCATTTCGCCGCGTTCAAACCACGGCGAGAGTCGAATTCATATGGCGCCCCACGTCCTGCTCGGCATCTTTTTCGCCGCGACCGCCGTCTCGTGCTTCAATCTGGAGCAGAGGCAGCCGCTGATCAAGTACGGGCATCCCAACTCGAATTTCGGCTATTCGCTGGCCACGCACACTATCGGCGAATATAATTGGCCCAATAACACAAAATGGTAAGCGTTCAAGTTAAAGATAGATAGCCAAACAACTTTATTTCAACCGGTTTCTGTTTTGTTTCGTATTGTTTTTACTAATTATTCGCTCGGGCAATATTGTCGGAAGCGCCGGAAGGGTAAAAAGTTCCTAAGGGGCAAATGGGAAACAAAATATCGAATTAGGCAAAGACATGTTATAAGCAGAGAGATCGTATGTAGTTCAAGAAAAGGAGAAACGCGTTAGAGTTATCTAGTCAGAAGTTCCCGACTAGCGGATACCCTGCACTTCTCTCTCTAACCTCTCTTTTTCTCTATCTATCTCTCTCTCTGTTTCAGAATGTTTTACTTTTTAGACAACTTCTCCGTTCTTCAGAAAATTAAAAAAAAAAACGCATTCTTGGAGGAGTCTTCCACTTTTGGTATATATATACTTTTTGCCACATTCAAGCTCTGATAAAATTCAGACAGAGGACTTCTATATCATATAGCTGTCATAGGAAAAATCCGTCGGAAAGTAGTTTCTTGGAATTCTTTTTGGTTTTTCAAGATATTTGAATCAAACTCGAAATTTGTAGGTTTCACTATGCTCCTTTCAAATTCTTATCAACATCGTACTATAATATTATATAGGGCAATAGGCAAGGATCGTTCGAAAATTAAGTTCTTGTGAGAAAAACATGTTTGTTTTTAAGATCAAATCTTATCTATGTCGGACCCCTATATCATATAGCTGCCATAGGAACCATCGGTCGAAAAGTAGGTTCTTGTATGGAATACTTTTTGGTTTTTCAAGATATTTGAATCAAACTCGAAATTTTTCTTTGGCCCTGCTCTCTCTTCTCTCCCTCTCTCTATCTCTCTCTCCCCCTCTCTCCCTCTCTCTCTCCCTCCCTCTCTCTCTCTCCCTTTATTGCTTACCTTAATTGACTGACATTGATTATTATTAATGCAACACTTTGCAAAATACAACAAATTCCTTTTGATGCCAATCACAAGAGCAAAAAAAAAAAAAACCGAAAAAATATATAAAAATAAATAAAAAACGTGTTTGCCTTTTGTGCAATGCATTTGTTGTTATTTTTGTTGTTGTTGTTAATGTGCGAAACTTGTTTGAGATTTAGTTGATAGTTGTCGTTGTCGTTGTCGTTGGACACTTCGATTACCATATAATATAATAATAATAATAAAAACGAATATTGATTATTTATAAAGATGATGCTACACACACAAACCTAGAGAGAGAGAGAGAGAGGGAGGGAGAGATCTTTCGGCATGTGCTTTCCATTAACAAACGAATGAGAAACAAGAAACGAGAAGATGGAGAACTTTTCGATGGCCATTTAGTTAAGATCGTATAACTAATTGAATACATCTGCAAAATAGAACAAACGAAAAATATAATCTAGAGAAAGTTATGAAAAATGATCGAATGTTCTATCTATCTATCTATCTATCTTTTGTTTCTCAAGTGTCCGCGAGTTCTTAACTAATTTCATGCAAATTTCATTCAAATCCATTTGCAGATTAAAAGATTCTCCAGAAGAGGCAAACTCTTCAGATCGAGCATCTAATTGCATATTTCTTTAGATCTAGTTTTTTTCTTCTTTTCTTTTTCGTTTTTCATGCGAAAGACATGAATTGAAATATTTGCGAGTCTGAATCTAGAAAATATAAGATAATAAATCAATAAATTTTGATATTTCTTTTATAGTATATTTCTCAAAGAGTACCAGGTTCTGGAACTATTCTTTATCATCTTCAAATGATCTTCTGAGGAAATTTAATCAAAACTTTTTCTTATCGTATCTAGTGAGGTTTCTCCATGCAAAAGTTCTGCATGGCAATGAAAGGTTATCTATGTATTCCGGAAATCGGAGAAAAAAGAACTTCATGTTTATTGAAAGTAAGCTTGTGTATCATCATTTCCGGATATGTTAAAGGTGACTTATTCCAGCTGGGCACATTACGACAACAAAAAAGGGTTTATTTATCTGCGTTTCGCGAAAATCACATTTATCGGCATTATCTTTCGGAACAACCCTTTTGGCTGCAGTTCGGGCGTTTGTTCGCAATAACATTTAAAATATTCGACTATATCTCATGTGTATTTAGGCTACAGCTGTGGCCAGACCCCGGCCCGGTTCCCGGTTCCCGTCCCCGACCCGGTCACCGTCCTCGACCCAGTCCCAGCGCCCAGATAGGACTGAATGAATATTTGCATTTTCAGATATTTCAACAATATATTTCACTGTTTATCGTTGTTTCTCATTCGATTTCCTTGTTTATTTTATAATACCCTGTACGCAGTGCAAATGGGTTGAACAGAGAGCAGCATACTCTGTATGCAGACAGTTGAAAGTCTCTTCGCATCGATAAACTCTAGAAATCTTAAGAGTGTATAGTTTACAAATCGAAAGTTTCTATATTTCTCTGCATTGTAGAACAATATCTGATTATATCGATACACAATAGATATTCATTTTAGAATATACCGATAAATAATCGATCTTTATAGATATATTCTAGAAATTAGAGAACAATTAAATGAAAATCGTTTCGACGGGTTTTTTTTTATGAATAACTCGATGATTATGAGATTAAGGCACTCCGAATTTGGTATTTGTGCTCTATAGTATAGTTTACTTTTTTGATAACTCCAACCTTTACGACCACCCCCCCTTCCCCCTCCCCCTTGCTTGCTGACCGAAATGAAGTCTTCTTCAGGAGTTTTCTTCCCATTTTCTGAGGTTTCAATCAAGAAGAAGAGGGTACTGGTAGAAGGCTGCAGGGTATCTGCAAGTCGGGCACACTCGATTTTATTTTTGTTATTTTTTTCCGCATTCGTTTTACAACGAACGGTTTTGTTTTTTGTTTTCATTTTATTTACAAACTTATCTCCTCGCTGTGTGTGTTTATTTTTTGCCAGTTGATAAGGAAATATGTGTCGAGGGTCACAGGAAGACTCCGAAATCTCATGCGACTGCAATTGTAGATATATGCATATATATATATTATTATTATTTCTATATAAAATCATAATTTGCATAGTAAACTGATGTGCAATAATCTGCATGAGCCTATGTATAATAGCTAACCGATTAGTTAAATCATCATGTTAAGGCTGATGTTAATCGTGCTTGTAATTTGGCCTGAAGCTAGCCCGTCTGTGCACTTAAAATGGCAACAACAACAATGCGAATAACTGTGACCGTGTTCGTATCCGCAGCAATTGTCTGTCTGGCGTACGCCCAGTTCGCAATGCCCATGCCATAGTTGGCAGACAAATCGGAGCCAACCGCAATGCCAATAAAATGACAAACATCAGAAACATGTATCCATCAAATGCCATTGAAACGAAGCTGGGATACGCTCACCAAGCACAAGCGGGCATAAGAGAAAGATGTGAAAATTAAAAGTTTCCCTTCCATCCCTATCAATTTCTCTTTTTATGTCTCTTTCGTAAACGTTGCACTGGCTGCGCTGTGTTCCTTAAGTATTGTATAGACAAGGTAAAATGTAATCGTAAAGTAAAATTAAAGAGTTTGTGACTTTCTTTAATTCCCTTTTCACGCCATATTCGTAAACGTTTCATCTTTCATTTCTTTTATCTTCTAAAAAAACCGTAATTTTGCATTCGTAAACGTTTTACTGGCTTATTTCGTAAACGTTTTACTGGCTGCGCTTTATTATTGCGTTTTTTCATAATTGATTTGTCAATTTCCTTCTGCCGAAGCTAAGCAGGGTTAACAGCAAGCCAATATACTCCTTAAAGTTAGGGCATACAAATAGAAAATCAATGCAAAAGTATTGCAGGGGCTTGGGGGAAAGCAATCCAAGACGTCTTATGGCTTATGGTGCCATAAAAATATGTATTACAAGAGCAATGTATCCACGTATTTCTGTTGTTGTTGTGTTGCTGTTGTTGTCGTCGCCATTCAGTCTGAGGAAGTTCGTTTCGTGGAAGTCACTTGTCCACTTTTGGGTGGCAGTGGGTCAAAGCAATTAGGTTGCTTCTGCACAGTGTCCCGTATAGACTATGGCTTAGAGCTAACTAAAGCCGGCCAGACTTGATTCCATTTCCGTTGAACATGAATGTCTGACAATTCACTGAGACTCGCAAATATTTTATAAGAAATATTTAGAAATATGTGTGTAAAGCTTTGCCTTTGAAGCGCACGTTGGCGAAAAGGCTTTATTTGAGGGAGCTTCAAAGCGCAGCTAGCATTTGAAAGCTTTTAATCATGAGTTTTAGGAAAAATCAAGGGCTTTAAAGCTGCTTGGGCGACTTCAATTAAAGCACATGTACAAATATAGAAGCTTTAAAGCTGCATCGAATATTTTAAAGCTTTAAATCCTGTTTTGTAAGCAAAAACAAGAGCTTTAAAGCTGCATAAGCACTTTATACCGAAGCACATGCTCGAGAATGAGAGCTTTTAAGAGCAGCTCGTAAAATGCTAGTTTTTAACAGATTATATTACGCTGAAACATGAGCTTTAAGCTTAAAAGCTTTACGAAGGAATTTAAGCATAGGCATTATTGAGTATTGACAATCATGTTGTATATACTCAATAAGTTGTGGCAAATGCGAAAGTAATCAGAAGCTGAAAGCTGAGTTAGCTGAGCCTAAATGTAAGAATAAATTAACAACAAAAGCTTAAGGACGCTTTCACCTGTCCAGAATTAATGTGCAATATTATTGATAAAAGTATTTAAGATCATTTAAGCTTAAAAGCTTGACACCTGCGGCGAAAGCTCTGCGCAGTGTTGCCAGACTTTTGTGCGGATTGCAAAGAATTACAAGCAGCTTAGAGGAAACTGAAACCAAAGCTCCTTCGAAAGACATTTGGGAATGCCAAAATGCCAAAATGCCAAATACCTTTCACATGACACACTTTTGTTTAGCTGGGATTGTTAAGTGTCTATAAGCAAATATGTGACCAATTTATTGGTCCTTCTTTAACACGAACTCGACATGTGTTTCATCTGGCTGCTGGTCGTGCATTTATGATTAGGCTCCG